GGTTCTGGGTTGGCCCCTTCAGAGACTGGGATTAGGAGGCTGCCTGGAAGACCCACAAGCAGGTCTTCCTGAGGGCAGATAGCTCACTGACAGGCATGCCTGCCACTGTGGTCTCCTCTTGGCTTCCAGAGGCAGGTGTCTTCCCAGCACTAGCCTAGGTTCTGCTTCCTTGGGATGCGCTGCTCTAGCTGAGCCCTGCCACACCAGCACAAGTAACTGCAGTAGATCTGCGGGCCACCATTGTCCACCTCACACACACACACACACACACACACACACACACTCACTCACTCAGGAAACAGCTGAAGGAAATGAGCCAAGGTTCTGGAAGACTTCAAATGTGAACCTTATTAGGCTCTCTGAAACTCTCAAATCCTGGGTATAACATCCTGCGGCTGGGGCAGGCACACACAAGAGCAGCAGATCTTACTCTCTAAGAGGACATCTGGCACCCACCTGGCAGGGTTTCTTGCATCTTCCATCCTCAGTTTCCCCATCCATAACAGGATGTTCTCATGTTGATGGGTCCCCTGGGATTTAGGAAAGGGGGGGTCACCCAAAGGAAAAGTTCAAAGAGAATGGAATGCACGTGCCTTGGGCTCCCCTACTGCTCTGAGGCTCCTAAGTGGCCCCTAGAGAGAAAGCTTTGAAGTGTGGCTGTGGAAGAGGCGCCCTCTGCTGGGCTCCGAAGAAAATGTCCCTTAGACTGTCTTCCCGTCTTCACAATTCACCACGGGAGTCTCCCCATCGGAGTTGAGCACTAACCTTGTGGGAGAGATGACCACAGAGCAGAGAGAGACCACAGGGCATAAAATCAGACAGACCCGAGTTCAAACACCAGCTCCACCGCTGTGTATTCTTGAACCCGTTACACAGCATCGCTGTGGCTCAGCTTCCTTTTCTGGCAAATAGAGTTAATAGTGGCTCATATTCAGAGTGGTTGCTGAGGTTCCCCGAGGTGACGTACAGAGATGTGTGGTGCCTGGCACCTGGTGGGGGCTCTGAAAATGCTGGTTCCCTTTAAGGCTCAGTGTCTCCCAGGAGCCTAGCAAACCAGTCTAGAGAAATTCAGCTACCTCCGCATACACCCACCCCTCTGCCCAGCAGGCCTCAAGCTCCCGAAGGAGCCAAGGATGATCTTGAACATCTGAGCCTCCTACCTTAGCCTCCTGACCACTGGACCAGCTCTCAGCTGTGTAGCCTCAGGCTGCAGCTGACTGAGCCTGTCTTCTCAGTGGAATGGGGGTCAGCCCTCCAGACACCATGTAAAAATAGCTGAATAAACAGTCGTGGCTCTTGTCTTCCTCCTGTCCTTGTGGCATCCCCAGCTGCCTCTGGCACTCATTAGATACTCAGTAAATGTAAAAAGAATTGCAGGCAGAAATCTCGCCAGTACGAGTAGAGTGCGGGACAGCAGAGCCGACACGGGGAAGCACATTTCACTCTCCCTGGGGAGCTATCTTGGAATTGCCATGGCCTCCCTAGGCCCTGCAGCACTCACAGCTGAACTGAGGGAGGGGCAATCTTGCAGGGCTCTCTCCTGAGGTCCCCAGCCAGCAGCCATCTCATTCCCCTCTCTGGAACACACAAGAATCGTGGGAGGGTGGGGCCGCACTGTGCACAGGGCTCTGGTCCCACCACCTACTGAGTGGCTTCGATCCAGCCACTTTTCCTCTTAAAGCCTTATCATCTGAGCCGGGCGGTGGTGGCGCACGCCTTTAATCCCAGCACTCGGGAGGCAGAGGCAGGCGGATCTCTGTGAGTTCGAGACCAGCCTGGTCTACAAGAGCTAGTTCCAGGACAGGCTCCAAAACCACAGAGAAACCCTGTCTCGAAAAACCAAAAAAAAAAAAAAAAGCCTTATCATCTGTACAGCAGGGATAAGAACCGCTCTAGCCTGACGGGAAGGCCTGTAAGGATAGCCACAGGGCTGCAGCTGGAGAGATGGCTTAGTGATTAAGATCACTTAAGAGAACCAGGGGTCAATCCCCAGCACCTACATGGCAGCTAACCACCATCTACAACTATCTGTAACTCCAGTTACAGAGGACCCAACACTTTCATTTGATCTCCTCAGGCAAAACACCCACATAAGTACAATAAATTACAAGTAATAGCAATAATAAAAGTGCACAGACTACCAGCTAGATGGTACACACCTTTAATCCTCACTCAGCAGCTAGAGCTCTGTGAGTTCAAGGCCAGCCTGGTCTATATAGGGAGTTCCAGGACAGACAGGGGTATAAAGAGAGACCCTGGAGAGATGGCTCAGTGGTTAAGAGCACTGGCTGCTCTCCAGAGGTCCTGAGTTCAATTCCCAGCAACCATATGGTGGCTCACAACCATCTGTAATGATATCTGGTGTCCTCTTCTGGCATGTGGGCACATATACAGACAGAATGTTGTATACATAAGAAAGAAAGAAAGAAAGAAAGAAAGAAAGAAAGAAAGAGGAAAAAAAGAGCAGCACAGGCCACAGCCTCCACCCAGAAGGCATCAAGTGAATGATACAGATCGGGAGGAGTCTGAGGGAGGAGTCTGAGAAGGGGCTCTCAGGAGAAGCGGATTTACCAAGTCAGGCCACACAGAATGTCTGTTTAGTCAGCAGCCACAGGAGACGAGGGAGCAGCAGGTGGGAGCCCTACAGCAGAAGGCAGTTCAAGGCTTCTCCATGAGGTACAGTGTGGCTGGCCGATGCCTCTTCCCAGAGGGGAGATTCCAAGGGTGGCAGGAGGGCTTGACCCTCAGGGAGCAGAAGTGACCACTCAGAAGCATGTTTGTCTAGCACCCTGTTCTAAAAAACCTTGTTCTTTAGATGAAGTCTCAAGTAGCCCAGGCTGGGCTTCAATTTTCTAGATATTGGAGAATGACCTTGAACTCCCGATCCTCATATCTCCACTTCCTAGAACTACAGCCCAGTTTGGGGACCCCTACTTTGAAGATAACTTCTCAGCATCTAACATGGAGTCTCCAAATAGAGGACCCTTGTGGGAGGAACCCGACATCTATGGGGTGTCATGCCTCCTGTAGGTGAGGCTCCTTCTGAAAACCACCCTCACAGTCTGCATCCTGCCTTCCAAACGCAGACAAATCAGCTTCTGTGGGAGTGGCCAGGGAGCTGGGAAGGGAGACCAAAGACAGGCGGTCTGGCTCACTCTGGCTGTCCTAGAACTCAGTCTGCAGACCAGGCTGACCTAGAACTCATAGAGCTCCACCTGCCTCTGCCTCCTGAGTGCTGGGATAAAAGGTGAGCACCACCAATACCCTGCAAGCACAGTCCTTTCTTAACTGACATGTGTGCCTGGCATTCTGGAGGCTTTCAATATGTGTGGCTTACTGGCTCTCTGGGCTTCCATCTGGAAGAGGACTGGATCCTAAGAGTCTGGGTTTTGCCTGTTACCCTGTGTATCATCACCTGCTCTGGACTCCTTGCTGCCCTCCACGTTGCTGGAGGCAATCCTGACCTCCTGCAGCCTCCTCAGCTTCTTGCTGCAGAGGCCTCCTCCCCTGCACTATCACGATCACCTACTTGGCCACAGGCCTCACAGAGTCAAGAGCATCAGCCATGTCTTCAGCACCCAGCACAGGACTTGACAGGACCAAATGCACATAGTCTTGGAATGGGGGAAGTCAACTGCACAACGGAGTCGCTAAAAGCCCTGTCTACTGTTATTTTACCCAGTGCCCCACATTCAAACGCGTGTGGTAGATAGTAGAAGGTGTGTTGGTAAACTCCCTTTCCATAGTTGGGGAAACTGAGGCACATAGCTGGATGTGGTTTGTGCACCAAACCTGAGCATGGCAGAGCACTGTGTTACACATTCCTGATGCAGCTCACTTGTGCCGCTACTGCCGTGGCTCTCAAACTTTGCTGCGAGCAGGAGTAGTGTTCGGGCCATCCAAGAATGTGCTAGAAATGGATATTCTGTCCATATGTGCTGAACCACAAACTCTGGATCTAAATTTCATCAAGCCTTCTAGGACATCTAGTGCATGCCCAAGTTCTAGAACCCCTTCTTTCCAATAACCCCACAAAGTCGCTACAATTATCTGTACTTTATAGATGGGTCAATAAGGCACAAAAAAGAAGACAATGGGGAGATGACCCTGGAGAGATGGCTCAGGGCTTAGCAGCTCTTCTCTTGCAGAGGACCCGGACTTGATTCCCAGCACCCACGTGATGACTCACAACATCTGTGAGTGACTCTAGTGGCAGGGGTCTGATAGCTTCTTCAGGGCTTGCAGGCGCTCTACTCCTGTGGTACACATAAACTCACTCAGGCAGGTCATTTTTCTTCTTTTTTAAAAATCTTATTTATTTGTTTGTTTTTGAGGCAGGGTCTCTCTATTACGTAGTTCTGTTCTGGCTGTTCAAGAACTTACTATGTAGAGACGAGGCTGGCTTTGAACTCATGACATCCGCCTGCCTCTGCCTGCCAGGTGCTGGGATCAAGGATGTGTGCCACCACTGCCCGGCTATTTTAATCTTTTAAAAGCAAAAAGGCAATTGCTCTAGGGCCACACAGCTGGTAGATGAGTACCAGTGTTTGAATCCACGTAGTTTCCTTATGGAAATCACTAAAGAATTGACATCAGAACTCAATTAGGATCTGTCCTCCTCCCCCCTTTTGTTTTTTTCGAGACAGGTAACCTTGGCTATTCTGGAGCTTGCTCTGTTGACCAGGCTGCCCTCTTATTTACAGAGATCCGTCTGCCTCTGCCTCCCGAGTGCTGGGATTAAAAGTGTACACCACCGCCGCCGCCCATCTAAGATCAGTAGTTTTTAGCCATTCATGAATAACTCTATATTAAGCGCCTGTTAGGGCCAGGCTAGGTGATGGAATCGGGGAGCCTAGTTCTCACTGAAGCCATTTTAGGAAAATCGCTCAGACCTGAATCTAAACTGTGAGAGACAGGATGGAGGCTCCTTTAAAAGGCGGAGACAAATCGGCGGAACTATAGAAAAAGGCCACTAAGCGCGCTCTCCGGAAATCTGAAACTGCTACACACGGAAGTGTTTTAGGCTAGCGGCAGCCAGGCTGCCGGAAGCTTCGCTATAATGGGCCGCAACAAGAAGAAGAAGCGAGATGGAGATGACCGGCGGCCCCGGCTCGTCCTCAGCTTTGATGAAGAGAAGCGGCGGTGAGTGGCTGGGTCGAACCCGATTCCCGTCGGGCTGCCGGGAGAAGCCTAGCTAAGCCCTGGGTGCGCACGTTCACGCAGAGGGCTCTTCCGGCTCCGCCCCTGGACGTTCCTGAAGACCTCGTTCCGCTTTCCCCACGTAGCGGGATGCAGACTCCCGCTCTACCCTCGCAGGTCCCAGTCTGCGTAGAGCAGTGCCCTGGACCTCTCGAGTCCAGCCCGGTCCATGGTCGCGGCACACAGCCGGCTGCCGTGGACGAACGACGAGAGAATTGGATGAGAGAGGTTTATGTTCATTTATTCTCTCGTCGTACTGTGTTCCAACCAAGCTTGGGTCCCGGAGGCTGAACCTCTGTGCTTCGGTGTCACCGTGGATAAATGGCACGTTGTAGTGGGTCTGCGAAAACCCTAGTGCAGAGCACCAAACGAAACCTCAGTTGCCAGGCCTGGTGGTGAAGACCTATAATCCAAGCCACCCGGGATGCTGAGGCAGGAGAATTGCAAAGTTAAGGGCTACAAAGAGAGTTCAAGACCAGTCTGGGCGTTTGGGCGATGTGTAGAGCCCCTGTCCCCATATCAATATAAAGTAATTAGTTTAGGTTTAACTCTCCAGTACAACCACAAAATCAGGAGCAGCAGATACCAGCTAGGAGGAAGCAAGAGTCGGGAAGGTGGGGGGCACCCCTAGGTCCCATCCCACTGGTGGATTCAGGGCTCAGATGTCGTTGAGGACTGGGTGTTGGTTCAATGAAAGAGTTTTGGGGTCTGGGTGAAGGCGTTCTTGGAAAGCCCCACTAGGGACGACTCCTACCGGTGTGGACGCAGCGTCCACCTGCTCTGTGTCTCTTCTCAACGACCTGGCGTTGTGTGTACCCACCAACCAAGGGGCAAGAAACGCAGGTGAAGTAGGTACTCAGGAGAAAGAAGCCTGGGAAGAGGCAGCATTCTCTGTCACACATTTTGTGGTGATGTGTTCAGTGATAGAGTGTAGTAAGACTGTCGCTTCCAGCAAAGGTGTGTGGTAGGTTACACCACCTAGGATTACAAAAGTACTCTGTGATGGTCCAGCAGGACTAGCAACTCATTTCTTTTAAGGTACCCTTGTTATTGAATGACCCATAACTACATTCTCTGTGACACTGGATAAGTACTCTTGTCTCCCCTCAGTGTCCTTATCTGTAAAATAAGGACAGGCTGTTGAGAGGGTAGAGGGGGTTAGTGGGTAGGTTAGAGCCTGGCCCTATGGCACTGGAGGGTTTCTCCAGAGCCCTTCTTTCCTCGTGTCTCCTCCCGACTCTGCTCACTCCCCTGCTTCCTTCCTGCAGGGAGTACCTGACAGGCTTCCACAAGCGAAAGGTGGAGCGGAAGAAGGCGGCCATTGAGGAGATAAAGCAGAGGCTGAAGCAGGAGCAGAAAAAGCTCCGGGAAGAGGTGCAGTGAGGAGGATGGAAAGTTGAAGGGGTGGCGGCCCATCTACCAGGGGAGGGGCAGCAGAGCAGATGGTGTGTGAGCGTGGCTGGAGCTGTCACAGGAGTAGAGACCCTGGTGTGTGTGTGTGTGTGTGTGTGTGTGTGTGTGTGTGTGTGAAGGGTGAGTCTCCTCTTGAGCTTACCCTATGAACTGTGGTCTCACACTGTGGAAGTGAGCAGGGCTGTTGCCCCGATGTGCTGAAAGGCCATTCTCACTGTGTTCATTTCTATCTTAGTGTCTTTTTCTGTGGCTGTGATGAGATACTCTTGACAGAAGCAGCTTATGGTAGAAAGGACTTGTTCTAGCTCTGGGGTCAAGGGGACAGTCCATCAAGGCAGTCAAGGGAAGGTGGCAGGAGCTTGAACTGGCTGGTCCCGTCACATCCCCAGTCAGGAAGCAGAGTGATGAACACATGCTGGTGTTCAGCTCTTTCTCAGCCAGGGACTAGCACCACCCACAGGGTGCAGGTCTTCCCACCTCAAGATACTATCCCATAGGTATGCTCAGAGGCCCATCTCCCGGGCCTTCCTAGATTCTGTCAGCTTAACAGTTAACACCATCACATCCTCCTGTCTGACTTCAGCGCCACCAGGAATACCTGAAGATGCTGGCAGAAAGAGAGGAGGCTCTAGGTAAGCCCCCACCAAGGTCTTCTGTGGAGAGCATCTAGTGAGCCTGGGCTTGTGTGTCCCTGGGTGGGGATAAGGAAGAATGGGGAGAAAGCTGGATAGAGGGTGATTTTCTTAGCCATAGAGATCTTGGTGGTGACGTAGGGGCCAAGGGGGGGTGGTCTACGTGCACGTGGATCAGAAACCAGGAGACCCAGACCACATGGTAAATTGAGACTGAACAGAGAGCCTAGAGATGGAACAGCTCTTGCTGTCACTCAGTTTCTCCAGGGCAAGGACAAGCTGGAGCACAAAGGGAAGAGAGGGTCATTTCCAGCACTTACCTGTGGGTGGGACTCTGGACCACTCTGGAGGTGCAGGAACAAAGGGTGGGCAGGGCTCTAGAAAAACACACTGCATGCCAGTCCTCATCCCTCTGGGGCTCAGAGGGATGCTGCAGAGGTGTGGTGGCTGAGCCAGGGCTGAAGACTGGTCTGTGTCCATCTTGCAGAGGAGGCAGATGAGCTGGAGCGGCTAGTGACAGCAAAGACGGAGTCGGTGCAGTATGACCACCCCAACCACACAGTCACCGTGACCACCATCAGTGACCTGGACCTCTCCGGGGCCCGGCTGCTAGGTCTGCCCCTGCCTGAGGTAGGTCCCAGGACAGCCCTGAGGAGGAAGGAGTAGATTGGTCTGTGGTGGCTGCTCAGTGCCTGCCCATGTCAAGGGTATCCTGCAGGAAGTGTGCCCCTGAAAGCTCAGTTCATCAGTCAGTTGAGTGTTGCCATGGTAGACCTCCCAGGATATGGGGGCGAGTAACCATGAGGATGCAGGGGTGAGGCCTTGTGAGGTCCTTGGTACTGAGTTCAGCTATGGTAAGTGCTCAGCAGACTACAACCCTTGCGTGATAAGCAACATACTGTGGCACATATATGCAGGGGCAGTGAGTTGGTAATGTGGGTCGTGCATCCTCCATGACTTGTTCAGTAATGGAAAACAACAGCATCCCAGTAAGGAAAACATTCCTCCGCTCCACTTAAAACTGCGCCTGTGGCTTGTATAGGAATTTCTATAATCAGGGTCCTTCAGTTCTGCAAATGTTCAAGTCTTTTGAATAAAATGCTATTCTATTTACATAGAACCTACACAGGTCCTCCTTTGTCCTTTAAATTGTCCTCTCATTACTTAGAAAATACCCGGCCAGCGAGATAGCTTAGAGTAAAGGTGCTTCCACCACCAGAGTTCCATGGTCTGAGTTCAGTCCCCGGAGCTCTGGAACTCCACATAGTGGAAGTAGAGAGCTGGCTCCTACATGTTCACCTCTCACCTCCTACACACACCCTGGGGTGTGCACGTCACACCCCCATCCCAACACACACACACTAAATAATACAAGAACAAAATCCGAATACCCTGAAGGTCCTGGCTGAGTTATTACAGTGCAGTGTTCAAAGGATAGCGAGAGTCTGGGTCCTGGAGATGAGGCTCGGTGGCTAAGAACACTTTCTGCTCTTGCAGAAGCCCCAGCTTCAATTCCTAGTACCCACATGGTGGCTCTCAACTATCTATTACTCCAGTTCCAAGGGATGTGACACCTTCTGACCTCTGCAAGCACCAGGTGTGCCTATGCTGTACAGATATACGTGCGAGAAATATATTTATACACATAAATGGATTTAAAACACTTAAAAAGAAAAAAAGACAAGAAATCTGGTCTCAGCACAGACACTGTGTTTCCTTCCAGATGTTTTATTTCTTTTCATTGTGCAGCTGGTCAACTCCAGCTTCCCAGAGAGCTCAGTATAAAGTGCATTTCTGGGCTGAGGATGCAGCCTGCCCAGAATGTGAGACCCTAGGTCTAGTCACCAGGATCACAAAAACAACAGAGCAAAATCCCACCCATTGCTGAGGCCCAGACGTGCAAGCACACAAGGAGGGTGAAGGCAGGAGGATCATTAGTTCGAGCCCAGCTGGGGCCTGTCTCAAAGAGAAGTTCATTCTCTGAGTTGAAGGGTCTCCATCCTGGAAAGCCGCGGCCTGACTGACTTCCACTGCCTGCTTTATGCATGTCCTTTAAAGCCTGACCCAGAGTCTCATTGTCATTGCGCGGATGTCGCTGTTGGTGAATGCTTGGGTACAGGCTGTCCTTTGTCATTCTGGTTCTCAGATAGTGTCCTAGTTTCTTTTCTGCCAGTGTGACAAACACCATAACCAAGACAACTTAAGGGAGGGAAGGGTTTCTTCATCTTGTACTTCCACGTCACAGGCCATCATAGAAGGAAGTGAGGTCAGAAACTCAACACAGGAACCTGAGGTAGAAACTGTGGAGGAATCCTGCTTGCTCGCTCAGACTCGCTCACTAGCTCAACTTAGCTAGCTTTTCTATACAGCCCAGGACCACCTGCCTAAGGAATGATACCACCCTGTGTAGGCTTGGGCTTGTTCATAGACCAACTTGATGTAGGCAGTTTCTCAATTGATGGTCTCCCAGATGACTTTAGGGTGTGTCATTTGACAGTTGAGCCGTCCACAGTCTACCCAGAGCCTTCTGAAGTCAGGACTGCTCGATGCGCCGGTCCACTCCCTATAACAGTCTGTCCTTTGTTTCTCTAGCAAGGGGACCAGGAGGAGGCGCCATCCACGGAGAAGCCAACTAAAGCCTTGCCCAAGAAGTCCAAAGATCCCCTGCTATCCCAGCGGTGAGCTCTGGCTTGTAGTTCCTGGTCCCATTCCTGTCTGCACTAGTGGCTAGATGTGTGGAACTACCCTAGCCAGAGGGGCTGTGGGGGCAGGGGCGGGGGTCTGCCCGGCTCTGTGGAGCCAGACCATGCAGAGCTTGTCCCAGCTTCTCTCCCATTCTACTTAGCTGAGTCAGCTCCACTTCCCCCGTAGCATCTCCTCCCTCACAGCTACGCTGCATGCGCACGGCCGGAAAAAGGTCAAAAGGAAACACCCTCGGCGGGCCCAGGACTCCACCAAGAAACCTCCTAGTGCCACTCGTACCAGCAAGACCCAGCGCCGCAGGATGACTGGAAAAGCCAGGCACAGCGGGGAGTGAGCGCTCGAGAAGCCTGCGGGTCCCCAGCCGAAGTCCCTGGCTGTCCCTGTAAGCCAGCTGTGTTGAGGAGGAACTACAGCCTAAGCCTGGAAAGCAGGACTTCTCCAGCCTGGGGCTGTCCCTGCTTGGGGACCATCCCGGGGTTGAGCCCAGAAGGAATGGACTTCCTAGAGCCCAGGTCCTGGAGCCTGCAGAGCACTGTCCGGGCCTCCTCACCAATGTACATCACCTGGGCCTCAGCAGTCCTTGAAACTCCTCATGTGTGTGCTTGTGGTTTGTCCTGGCTTTGCCTTCTGGGGCGGTGGGAATGGCCAGGGGTCCACCTTCCACCTCGAGATTTTCTTGAGGGTATTACAAGATCCTGTCATATGTGGGTCCCCTAGTCATAGCTGGAGACCAGTGTGTTCCATGTAGACTCCAGAGGTGTGGCCAGCTGTGGTTGTGTACTGTAATACCGCACCAAGGAGGCTGAGGCAGGAGACTCAATCCACAGTCATCTTCAGCTACATGGAGATTTCTGTGCCATCTTGGGCTGGCTACCAGGTGGTATCTGAAGACTGAGGACTTGAGTCAGAGGCCACATTCAGGGATGGAAAGCTCAGCTCCGGCAGTGCCTTTCCTGGGACTCAGCCCCTTCCCTCCTTCCCTGCCCTCTCTGCTTTGAGGGTGGTGACTTTACCGTAGGCCTGGGCCTCATCCTCTAGACCACTGAGCAGAACAAGCCAGGAGATGCAGGGATTTGCTCCCCATGTGAGCCTCAAGCAGTGCTGTCCTGCTGGGTGTGTTTCCCTGTGTGAACCTCCTTCAGGCCTCCCTGAGGCTGGAGTGTGAGGAGTACAGGATTCTCTACATCACACCGGCTCACCCCTCACGGCTCACAGCGTGTCTCTATCTTGTCAAACACAAGAAAAGGAATGATGACGTTATGAGGCCACGTTTGCAATTCCTGCAGCTCAAGAGGCCTAGGTGGGAGACCCCAAGTTCTAGGCCAGCTTGGGCTACATAGCATGTCTTAGGACAGTGAAGTTCAGCTCCACACATCAAAAGCTCACAGCTGGATCATCATGTAGTAAGGACTCTCAGGCTGACAAGAAGAAAGTTACCAGCCTGGAGCTGGGAAGGCTAGAAGCTGGGGTGGCAGGCTTTTAGATCATCCTTTTATTTCTTTTTCTTTCTTTTTTTAATAACTTTGCCTCACAGCCCAAGATAGATGCATTTCAGCTAGCAGGGAAGAGAAAGCGATGAAGAAGGACCTAATTATCCTTTTAAATGGCCTACACACTTGTTGTGTTCTGCCGGCTAAATAAGGCAAAGGCCAGGGGCGTGGGGTGGGGAGGAGGGCACTCCCTGCTGGAAGGAACTTCAGCCCTGGCTGCTTTAGGAAGGCAAGTGCCCACAGGACTAGGGGTTGGTCTGCTAGCAGAGGGAAGAAGGATTGGGACACAGGAAGAGTCGGGAGGCTGTCCAGCAGCACAGAGTGGGACAACAATGGGCAGTGACTCAGTCCAGGGAGGCAACCGGCTGAGGCATCCAGAACAGGACACGGGCATCTGATCAGAGAAGTCCATTAACGCATTTGGAGAGGCTCTTCCAGAACTGGGCAACAGGAGAGAAGGTTGTGTAGTTCAAGGTCCCTGGAGAGCAAGGGGTTGTGGGTCAGGGGAGGACGAAGCCCTCACCCAGGCTGAATGGAATCAGAGTCCGGGCTTTGTATGTTAGCGAGGCCCCCTGGTGGCAGTGAGGGTGTATGCAGACAGATCTGAAACAAACCCTGGATGAACCGGGAGAGAAGGGAGGGCCTCCCCCTGCAGGCCTAAACTCTCCAAGGATTTTCAGGCTGCTAGCCAGGTTCAGGACACTGCAGATAAGCCGCGAGCCAGGCAGCTCAAGTGCCATGAACCTGCGGTGGGCACTCCAAGGAGGGCACCCAGGAGAGATGGTAACTCCAACATCAGTGGCAAAGACCAAGTCACAAAGCTGGCTGGCAGTAGGGTTCAGGGCCTTGCCTCCAGAGGGGGCCATTCAGGGGTTGCTGAGGTGAAAGACAGCCCTGCCCAGGGTCTCAGTTGAGCTTTCTTGCTCCTAGTGGGGGAGACAGCCGACTTTCCTGGAGGGAACTTGAGCCCTCACAAGGCAGTGAAAATATGCTGTGGTTCACCATTTCAGATACGGCACAGGAGAGGCCTCCAGCTTAGAGTGGCCTTAGTCACAGTGTAGAAAGCCAACTTGACGTCATAGCAACACTTGCATTCCCTTGGATAGAAGCGAGCTTCCATCGCCACAGTCTGATTTTGCCACCATGCCTTGGACTGTACCTGTGAGCCACAATGAGTGTTTAATTTTAACTCTGTATTCCTAGGCAAGTAAACAGGTGAAAACAAGCCTGGCTGTGTGTAGTCCTCAAGAACAGCCCTGACTGCAGCTCTGATGACCCCAGGGCAGTCATCCATCCTGCTCCCCTCTGTCAGGCCTCTACCTTGCCCACCCAGGCTCTGGCCCTCCATTGCCCATGGGAGGAAGAGGGCTGGGTGCTCCTTCCCCTGGCCGGGTGAAGACAGGTTCTGGGCTAGAACAGAAGTCACGACACTCTTCAGCTCTGAGGGGTCTCAGCTAGGGCCGTGAGCCAAGCAAAGGCCCAATGAAGTGACAAGCCAGGTAGAGTGTGGCTTAGTGTCATCTGTTGCTGTGATAAAATACCCTAACAAGGGACTGAAGAGATGGCTCGGCAGTTAAGAGCACTGTCTACTCTTCCAGAGGACCCAGGTTCAATTCCCAGCACCCACATGGCAGCTCACAGCTGTGTGTAACTCCAGTTCCAGGGGAACTGACAGCCTCACATGGACACATGCAGGCAAAACACCAATGCACATAAAAGAAGAATAAATAAATAATCTTAAAAATGATACCCTAAGTGATTAGGTTACTAGCATCTCAACCCAGGAAGCCTGCATACTTTGGAGAGGCTTAAAAGAAAAAAACTGACAAAAAGCCACTTATGGGAGAAAGGGTTTATTTCAGGTCACAATTCACCATAGCAGGGACATCAAGGCAGGGACTTGGAGAGCTAGTCACAGTCAACACACCCAGTCAAGAGCAGAGAGAACAAACACATGGATGCTTCTTTGTGCTCAGCTTTTCAGTAATCAACCCCCGGACACATCCACAGGCCATCCCCATCTGGGCAGTTCTTCACTGAGACATGATTGCAAACATGACTGCAGATTGTGAAAAATTGATAATTGAAGCTAACCATCATCTCTCAAGTCTGAAGACCTAAGTTTGATCCCCAGAACCAATGTGACAGTGGAAGGAAAGAACCAATGGTTGTACAAAACTATCCTCTGAGTCAAATTCCTGCTATCTTTAAAATTATCGTCATCATTATTATTATTTTATTATATTTTCTCAAGACAATATTTCTCAGTAGCCCTGGCTGTCCTGAAATATTTGTAGACCAGATTGGTCTTGAACTTACAGAGATCCACCTACCTCTGGCTCCAGAGTGCTGGGATTAAAGGCATGTACCACTACCACCCAGTTTAAATTATTTTTAAAACATGTGAGTGTTAGTTGGGTGGTGGTGGCGCACGCCTTTAATCCTAGCACTTGGGAGGCAGAGGCAGGCGGATCTCTGTGAGTTCGAGGCCAGCCTGGTCTACAAGAGCTAGTTCCAGGACAGGTTCCAAAGCTACACAGAGAAACCCTGTCTCAAAAAACAAGCAAACAAGAGCACAAGTGCTCTTCACTGTTGTCATTTCTCTGCCCATAGGAGATCATAAAAGATCACTACAACAGGGCCTGTTGACTGTTATCTTCCCTCGTGGGGGGGGGGACAGAGAGGATCCTGGGACCCTCACCTGAGCATGCCAGCCCTCCCTATCAGTAATATGCAATTCTGCACTAATAGCTTGTGGCCTCAGGCTACAGGTGAGGAACTAGGGGTCTCCGTCTATGCAACTCAGGGTAAGCCATAAATCATAATCCCTGCTCGGTAGAGACTTCCCAGTGCAGCCTTTGTGGGGGAGCACCAACATTTCTGTAAGTAACCCCTCACTTATGCTCTGTAAGGAAGACCAATGAACTCATTGGTTCCCCAGCGGGAGCAGAGGTTGTTATTGGGCCCTTAGATGGGTAGACACTGCTTACACCTTCCTCTGGGAAGGAATTTTAGCAACCACCATTCTGCAAAGTTGTCTTTTTTTTTTTTTTGGTTTTCGAGACAGGGTTTCTCTGTGGCTTTGGAGCCTGTCCTGGAACTAGCTGTGTAGACCAGGCTGGTCTCGAACTCACAGAGATCCACCTGCCTCTGCCTCCCGAGTACTGGGATTAACAAAGTTGTCTTTTGAATTCCACGAACGTGCCCTTCACATGTCATACAATAAAATAATCAAATCGGTATGAAGCCAGCGAGTCCAGAGCTCAAGCAGGGGACAGGAGGATGAGTAGTGACATGGTGCCCTTAGTGGAACCCTCTGAACAGCTCACAGAGGCCGGGGATGTCGTGTGGGACGTCCTCATGGGGCCACAGTGCAGCTTGCTAGAGTTTGGCTTCCCCCTGACAGGATGAGGTCGAGGAGGTCTGTATGGTCTCTGTGCTCCAGACAGCATGGGGGGGGGGCACAAACATCTCCGTGTAGGGGTGACTTCCTCTCCTGGCTGCCATTTCCTGGACTCTTGGGCTCCGCCATCCTCTTCACCCACCCCTACAAGAGGGACCTCTTCCCACAGTTCCCTTTGCTCCCTGCCTTCTGCCATCCTCTTGGGCAAACACTCCAAAGCTAAGGTGAGTACTTATTCATGGTGCCCACCTGCTCCCCCCACCTGCTTTCCACTCCAGGTCCTGCCACCCTCAGCCTGTGACCTGTTCAGAATCATTCCCTCTGGGTCTTTGCTGAGGTGCACGAGCCACTACTCTAAGACCTCCTGACGACCTCTTTGGAAACACGCTGGCCAGGCCAGGCCTCGCGTGCCTCTCTCTGCTCTGCTCTCTTTTCTCCTGAGCACCAGTCAGCCCAGTCATGCTTTGCTTGTTTCTCTTGCCTGGGTCGGTTTTCCTCCACCATACAGACACACAAAAGCAGCGCACGGGTCTCTTGTTCTTTGATGAACCCTCAGCAATCTTGACTGACAAAGGGCTCCATAAATGTTTCATGGCTGAATTGTCAGGCTCATCCGCCTCAGTCGGCTCTAGGTTGCATTGCCTGGGAAGGCCAGAGGGCTGGGACCTTGCTCAGTTCCAACTCAGAAATACCCATTCCACCCCAGGCTCAGAGAGGTCAAGTAACTGTAACTGTCTCAAGATCACCCAGCCAAGAAGCGCTAAAAGGCTGACCCTGAACCCAGGTCTCACTAGCCTGTCTTACAGCTAGCCAGGCCACGGAGGAAGCCCACTGTGCTTGTCAGCCAGCTCCGTCCTGGGCCAGGATGGTTTGTTCCGGGCCTCACTTCTGCCCTCACTTGGGAAGAAGCCACCGTTTATTCATGCTTTCCTTTCTGAGCGCTTCACCAGACACAGGCGAATGAGAGAATGAGGATGCCCCACAGTGGTCTGCAGAGTCAGACATCCCAAGATTTTTGTCCTGATTCTGCTCTTTATTAGCCTTGTGACCCTGGCAAGTCAGCTGACATCTCTGATCTTTGTTGCTATGTGTAAAGGACTGGCTTAGGAGCTGGTGTGTAACCAGTGCACAATAGAGCTTAACTTTAAAAGCTGGGGCAGGGCTGGGCGGTGGTGGCGTATGCCTTTAATCCCAGCACTCGGGAGGCAAAGGGAGATGGATCTCTGTGAGTTCGAGTAAGCTGGGGTAGGGCTGTACATTCCACTCTGTTAGCTGGTTTCAGTTTTTGGTATTTTTGCTTTTGTTTGACAGGGCCTCCAACTGATTCTGTAGCCAAATCTGATCTTTTCTTCTCCCTCCCTCCTTCCTTCCCTCCCCCCTTTCTCCCTCCCTCCCTCCCTCCCTCCCTCCCTTCCTTTCTTTTTTCAAGACAGGGTTTCTCTGTAGCTTTGGAGCCTGTCCTGGAACTCACTCTGTAGACCAGGCTGGCCGCTAACTCACAGAGATCCGCCTGCCTCTGCCTCCCCAGTGCTGGGATTAAAGGCATGCGCCATCACCTCCCGACCCACCTCCTGATCTTCTTGCCTTCACTACCAGATCACTGCTCTACTGTCTCCACCTCCCGATTGCAGGACTTTCAGATGTAGATCACCAACCTCTGGTTTTGCTTTCTGGAAGTGTCTCGCTCTTGCAGCCATGCCGATCGAACTCTGGGCATCCATCCTCTTGCTTAAGATTTTTCAAGAGTTAGGTGACAAGTTTAGTTTGTGGCACCACCCCCAGCTAGCCACACTTTCTACTTTCCACGTATGCATTAGTGCCCTTTTGAAGACCTTAGCCAGAACGAGCCAATGGGAAAGAGACAAGAGGCCACTGGGCCAGCAACAGCACTCAGGTCCCAGGGGAACCCGACTGGACGAGGTTGGGTAGCGCAGGCAAAACGTGCCTTGCATCCCGCGCTCCGAGGCGCCTGGGCACCGCCCTCCTCTGCCCTGCCCCCAGTCCTCGCTGTGTCCAATCCCACACTGATCATGCAAATAAGGCTCTGAGGGCGAGCCTATTGGAGCGCGGCAAGGGTGTGGTCTTATGCGCACCTCCCGGGCAACGTTTTGATTCATTGTTAAAATAGAGGCTGTGACCCTGGCACTAGCACCTCCACCGCCCGGTAAGTGGAAATCCGAGCCCAGGTCAGAAACCCGCCGCTAGCGAAACCTAGAGGGCCAGAGCCGAAGGGGGAAATCAGGGGAGGGAGGATGAGGGACCCTGAAGAGCTGCCGGACCGGCTGCTGGAAGAGGGAACTAAGGGTCCATTCTCCGGGCCATGTGTGCAGAATGCGTGACAGTTTTTTGTGGTTACATCCTTACCATTTAATGTGCATTTTAGGGAAGATTCGTAGAGGACACTGGAGTCACAAAGAGCACATGAAGAGCCCTTATCTAGACCCCTGGAAAAGGAGCCTCGTTCTCCTTCCAAGACGATGCTCCACTTGGTGGCTGAACCAGGAAAGAACAGCCCAGGTTGGTGGGGCATATCTATCCATCCACCATACAGAACAGGGACTAAGTAGGGCAGATAGATGGTCGCCCAAGGAGGAAACTAAGCCCTGTGGATCTTCCTGTGGGAGTTCCACTCTCCAAAGGAAGGACCTGGAGCCCCAGGGGAGGACCCAAAATTCCTCAACTCAGCTGAGATTGGCAACAAAGGTTTGATCTCCTGGGAACTTTGTCTTCACCAAGTAGGTCAGGTATGAGGTGACCCCTGTGGTGCCCAGAGGTACTTGTGCTTTGGGGGATGCTGGATACCCTCTCTTCCAATACCCTTCCAGGCTGTATCAGTCTCCTGACCCAGAGTCACTTCCAGGGTGTGGACATTGTGGCCTCTAGAACAGAAAGGACTGGACTTGGTTTAAGACCACCAGCTAGGATGGAGGTGTGGCTCAGTGGTAGAGCAGTTGTCTAACACCTGCCAGGGCTTGGGTTTGATCTTCAGATCTGGGGTGGGGGGAGGTGTGTGTGGGGAGATACCAGTGGTTCCTTTTCGGCTAAGTGCAGTCACATATGTGCTTTGTGACCTTAGGTGGCTGTTCACTTTTGTCTAAGATTTGTCCTCAAGTCTGAAAATACCTGGCCAGCCCTTTGCATCACTCTGTTTGCCAAGGGACCTGGGGGACTTGGCAATGTGGTTCAGCACCCTCACGGTCACCTCTGAGCTTTTGGAGACAGACCAGGGCCTCCAGCTGGACCAGCGCCACTTGGGTGTCAGGGAACCTCTCAGAGCCTTGATTGCACCTCTGAAACTGGCGTTAACTTTAGCTGGGTAAGAGGGGAACTCTCAGTTTACAAAGCTAGAGATTTGGGATGAGTTAGGGATTCTCTTTTATGGTGTACCCCGGGACTCAGCACTGGAGATTCTGACTGGATAGCGCAGCAGAGAAAACAGACTTATGGGGGTTCTGTGGCTGTTGGCTTCTTTATTTGGTGGGTGTACAGGTGTCTACATGTTTGCGTATGTGTACATATGCGTGTGCATATGTGTGTGAGACATGTGGAGGGAAGAGGATAATGCTGGGGTTTCTTTTTTCTTTTCTTTCCTTTTTTTTTTTGAGATTTGTTTATTTATCATGTATACAGTGTTTGGCCTGCTTGTATGACCACAGGCCAGAAGAGGGCATGAGGTCTCATCACAGATGGTTATGTGGTTGCTGGGATTTAAACTCAAGACCTCTGGACCACTGGAAGAGCAGCCAGTGCTCTTAATCTCTGAGCCATCTCTCCAGCTTCTTTTGTTTTTCAATACAGGGTTTCTCCGTGTAGCCCTAGATGTTGTTGAACTTGTGCTATAGACGAGGGTGGCCTCCAACTCAGAGACCCACTTGCTGGGATTAAACACGCATGCCACCACTGGCTGGTGGGTGATGCTAGGTTTCTTTTTCAGTCACTCTCTCCTAATTTTTGGAGATGAGGTCTTACCAAGCCTGGAGCTGAATGATTCAGCTAGACCAGCTTGCCAGTGAGCATGAGGAACTCCCCCCCCCCCCCGCAGCCCCCGCACCTCCCTAATGTAATAACATCGTACTTGGGTTCTGGGTGTTCAGATGCAGATCCTCACCTTGTTGCAGCTCTTTGGGTTTGCTTTTTCAAGAGATGGAGACTGTATACGTTGTCTACACTGACCCCAAACTTGCACTCCCAGGATCCTCCTGCCTCGCTGTTCTGCGTAGCTGGGATCGGGGTGCACATCACCACATATGGCCGGAAACTTGCCTTTGTTGTTGATTTGGTTTGGTTTGTCTGTTTTTCCAGACAGAGTTTCTCTGTGTAGCCTTGGCTGTACTGGAACTTGATTTGTAGACCAGGCTGGCTTTGAACTCACAGATATCCGACTGCCCCTGCCTCTCGAGTGCTGGGATCGGAGGGGTGTGTGCCACCACTGCCCGACTTTGTCAAACTGTTTTTTCCCCCCTCGAGGAAACTTGCTTTTTTTTTTTTTTTTTTTTTTTTTTTTTTTTTTTTTTTTTTTGGTTTTTCGAGACAGGGTTTCTCTGTGGCTTTGGAGCCTGTCCTGGAACTAGCTGTGTAGACCAGGCTGGTCTCGAACTCACAGAGATCCGCCTGCCTCTGCCTCCCGAGTGCTGGGATTAAAGAGGTGCACCACCATTGCCCGGCTGAAACTTGTATTTTTATGAGCAGTACAGTAGAGTGCAATTCAGGATCCTTGGAACCTTGACCAACAATATATATATATATATATATATATATATATATATATATATATAGGATTAGAAATCATATGTAAGTGCTTGACAGTATGTTTGGAAACTTAGTGACTGTCAATGAACACACGAACAGAAAAATGGACGACAGCTTTGTCTGGCTTGGACAAATGAGACATAGGGTCTACACAGTGGCCACCAGTTATTAGGTGTTTGTTCCCAAATCCTTCCCAGGCCCCACCTAGAGAGCCAGCCACTGGATCGCAGGAGCTGCCTGGTGTGACTCCCCTGCTATGGAGGAAGTGGCTATAAATGTCCCCAGTGTACATTTTGAAGCCAGCATATCTCCTAAGAACCGCTGTCTGAGCTGCTGCCACCCTGAGAAGGTTCATGGAGCAAGACAGCAGGTAGGCGGGCTTTCCGTTGTAGGGCGGTTTGGAATGTGGGGTCAGTGACGGGTTGGACCACAAACTTGCATCTGAAGGAGGATGTTGCCTACACTTTGTCCACTTTCCAGAGGTCTTATATTTATGTATTTGTTTGTTTTTATGTATATGAGCGCTCTATTTGCCTGTATGCCTGCATGACAGCAGAGAGCATCAGACAAAGGAGGTCATCAGATCCCATTACAGATGGTTGTGAGCCACCGTGTAATTGCTGGGAATTGAACTTAGGACCCCTGGAAAAGCAGGCAGTGCTCTTAACTTCTGAGTCATCTCTTCAGTCCCCTTTATTTTATTTTATTTATTTATTTATTTATTTATTTTTTTGAGACAAGGTCTTACTGTGTAACCTTGACTGCCCTGGAATTCACCATGGAGACTAGGGTATCCTTTAACTCAGATCTCAGACCCCTGAATACTGGGATTAAAGGCATGCACCACCATGTCTGACTTATTAAAAAAAAAAAAAAGACAGGGTTTTTTTGCTTGTTTGGTTGGTTGGTTTTGTATGTGTATCTGTGTGTGTGTGTGTGTGTGTGTGTGTGTGTGTGTGTGTGTGTATAGCCCCAGGTGTCCTGGAACTTGCTTTGTAGACCAAGCTGGTCTCAATTTTTAAAAGAATTTTATTGAGCTCTACATTTTTTTCTCTGTTCCCCTCCCTACCTCTCCCCTTCAACCTTCTCCTAAGGTCCCCATGCTCCCAATTTACTCAGGAGATCTTTCCATTGTGTAAATATACCATATTTTCCTTATTCATTCTTCGATCGAGGGGCATTTAGGTTGTTTCCAGGTTCTGGCTATGACAAACAAAGCTGCTATGAACATAGTTGAGCACATGTCCTTGTGGCATGATTGAGCATCCTTTGGATATATACCCAAAAGTGTTATTACTGGGTCTTGAGGAAGGTTGTTTCCTAATTTTCTGAGGAATTGCCACACTGACATTCAAAGGGGTTATACCAGCTTGCATTCCCACCAGCAATGCAGAAGTGTTCCCTTTTCCCCACAACCTCTCCAGCATAAGTTGTCATCAGTGTTTTTGATTTTGGCCATTCTTACAGGTGTAAGATGAAATCTCGGAGTTGTTTTGATTTGCATTTCTTTGATGACTAAGGATGTTGAACATTTCCATAAGTGTCTTTCAGCCATTTTAGATTCTTCTGTTGAGAGTTCTCTGTTTAGGTCTGTACTCCATTTTTTTATTGGATTATGTGATCTTTTGGTGTCCAATTTCTTGAGTTTTTTTGTATATTTTGGAGATCAGACCTCTGTCTGATGTGGGGTTAGTGAATATCTTTTCCCCTTCTGTAGGCTGTTGTTTTGTCTTGTTGACCGTGTTCTTTGCTTTACAGAAGCTTTTCAGTTTCAGGAGGTCCCATTTATTAATTGTTTCTCTCAGTGTCTGTGCTGCTGGGGTTATATTTAGGAAGTGGTTCCCTGTGCCAGTACGTTCGAGTGTACTTCCCACTTTCTCTTCTATAAGGCTTAGTGTAGCTGGCTTTATGTTGAGGTTTTTGATCCATTTGGACTTGAGTTTTGTGCATGGTGATAGATATGGGTCTATTTTCATTCTTCTACATGTTGATATCCAGTTATGCCATCACCACTTGTTAAATATGCTCTATTTTTTTCCATTTGATATTTTTTGCTTCCTTGTCAAAAATCAGGTGTTCGAAGATGTGTGGATTGATATCCGGGTCTATTTTTTTTTTTTGTGTGGTTTTTCGAGACAGGGTTTATCTGTGGCTTTGGAGCCTGTCCTGGAACTAGCTCTGTAGACCAGGCTGGTCTCGAACTCACAGAGATCCGCCTTCCTCTGCCTCCCGAGTGCTGGGATTAAAGGCGTGCGCCACCATCGCCCAGCCTAAAAATGTTGGGTTTTTGTTTGTTTGTTTGTTTTTTGTTTTTTGTTTTTTTTGTTTTTTTTTTGGAGACAGGGTTTCTCTGTGGCTTTGGAGCCTGTCCTGGAACTAGCTCTGTAGGCCAGGCTGGTCTCGAACTCACAGAGATCCGCCTGCCTCTGCCTCCCAAGTGCTGGGATTAAAGGCGTGCGCCACCATCGCCCGTCGATATCCGGGTCTTCTATTCGGTTCCATTGGTCCTCCTGTCTGTTCTTATGCCAATACCAGGCCGTTTTCAGTACTGTAGCTCTGTAGTAGAGTTTGAAGTCAGGGATTGTGATGCCTCCAGAAGTTCTTTTATTACACAGGATTGTTTTGGCTATCCTGGTTTTTGTTTGTTTGTTTGTTTTTGTTTTTTTGCTTTTCCATATGATGTTAAGTACCGTTCTTTCAAGGTCTTTGAAGAATTGTGCTGGGATTTTGATGGGCATTGTGTTGAATCTGCTTTCGGTAACTTTGAACTCTTACACAAATGATTGAGTCCTTTCTACCTGAGCAGGGCCGTTATGCAAATGATCTTCTCCCAGCTGAAGGGGAGATGGAAGCATGGACCAGCGGATGGTGGACTCAGTCAGATCTGACATACAGACTCGGTCCCACCATTTGCCAGCCAAGATTTCGGGTCAGCTTGTGCAGTCGTTTGGAATGAACAGTTGCTTGACCTGAGCCAGGGTTGCACTGGTTGCTATGGCAGTGATGTTAAACAAGGCTGTCACATCCCTGCTCCAGGAGACTGGTGGTCTAATCAAAACCATGGGCAGGAGGAAAGGAACCACAGAAATGGCTGTTTCACCATGCCTGTGATCCATGCTCTGAAGGAACAGGGGTTGTTAGGCCTTGGGGAGGACTTTCAGCGGCTTGGTGAAGGATGAAGGCTTGCCACTGGCGCTAGGGAGAAAAGGAAAGGGAAAGGAACGGTATGGCATGTAAAAGGTTTTAAGACAGAAAGGATGAAGCGCATCAGAGGGCTGAGGACTGGTCATTGAGAGGGAGAGTCACACAGATACAGGATGGATAACCAGTTGGGGCCTGGCTTCCTCTGGCTTTGTTTGTTTGTTTTACTTCTTTTAAGATTTATTTATTTTATGTATACGAGTACGCTACCTACTTGTGCATCTGTACACAGAAGAGGGCATCCGATCTCACTACAGATGGTTGTGAGCCACCATGTGGTTGCTGGGAATTGAACTAAGGTCCTCAGGAAGAGCAGTCAGTGCTCTTAATGTCTGAGCCGTCTCTCCAGCCTGTGTGCTTTGGTTCTGTGGACACTCTGAGGAACTTAGATTGCATTTCAGTTGTTTTGATTTAAAGAAGAGACTAAGGTGATCCAGTCTTCATTCTCTCTGTTGCTATGATGCTGGCAAAGTGTGGGGTGGCGGGAGAGAAGGGAGCGGGGACAGGGGTGGAACTGCTTCCTCCAGAGATGATAGTAGCCTTGGGACGAGGACAAAGGACTGTCCAGCCCCCAGAGTCAGAGTCAGTTTTTACTACCATGTCCCATGCACAGAAGCTTGTGTCCTTCCTGAAGTTGGGTGCAAGAGCTTCCTCAGTGACCTTCCTGTACCTTCAGAGCTGAGCAGTTATCACTGAGGTTAGCTGGGTTGCCACTGAAGCCAATGGGGTCTGACTCCAGTGAAGAATCCCCCTAACCTCCTGGGAAGGAGGGCCACAGGGGAACGTGTCTCCAGCCCTCCGGCTGCTCACCTCCATCTTCCGGGCCACCTCTGCCTCCTGTTACTTGAAATTAAAAACTCGTGGCCAGCAAAGTAACTCAATAAGTAAGGGGTTCTGCCAGTTCTGATGGTCTGAGTTCAGTCCCTGGGCCCACGTGGTAAGAGGTGAGAGCTGACCCTGTCTTAGATACATACATGCATGTATGCATGCATGCACGCGCGCGCACACACACACACACACACACACACACACATTTAAAGAAGCTGGGAGCCAGGTGTTGGTGGCAGGCACAAGCCTTTAATCCCCAGCACTCAGGAGACAAAGCCAGGCAAATGCATCTCTATGAGTTTGAAGCTAACCTGGTCTACAGAGCAAGTTCCAGGACAGCCAGGACTACACAGAGAAACCCTGTCTTGAAAATCAAAAACAAAAACAAAGAAGAAGCAGGTGCTGAGAAATGAGTCAGCCATTAAGAGCGCTTGCTGCCCTTGCAGTTGAGGTTTGGTTCTCCAGCCACAGGTCAGGCAGCTTACAACTACCTGGACCTCTATTCCAGGGAATCTAATGCCCTCTTCTGACCTCCATGGGCACCTGCGTAGGGCAGTGTACATATATACACTCAGGTGCACACACCCATGTGTAGAACATTGTAAGTATTTTAAAGGCTGACTGAGAGTTGGACAGCTGCCGGTGCTGTCAAAGAGCTGGCTCAGTGAAGATCCCTTGGCCTAGAACGTGATGCTCTGAGATCCAGCCCCAAGCCAGGCAGAGGTGGCGCATGCCTTTAATCCCAACGCTCAGGAAGCAGAGGCAGGTGGATCTCTGTGAGTCTGAGGCTAACCTGGTCTACAGTGCAAGTACAGTCAGAGCTGCACAGAGATATCCTGTTTTGAAAATTAAAAACAAAAACAAAAACACAAAAACTCCTTTGCCAGCAGCACCCAAAGGCACAGTGATTCCAGCCTCCATCAAGGGCCTTTTCTCACTCTGCAGTGCTCTGTGAACGCAGGCTACTTCGTGCTGCCAGAGCCCCAAGCCCCTGTTCCTGCTGTGGTCCAGCCACTGAGCTGCAGCTCTGGATCATCTCCGCTGTGTCCTCTGGATGCTCACACTCACTGTGCCTGAGCAACCTCATCCCTTAGGAGTTAGCCACAGGCTTCACCTCTCCATCCCCAGGCTTATCAACTCCTATTTCACCAGCAAGCATGAGGACCTAAGTTCTATTCCAAGCACCTACATAAAAAGCAGTGGCTGGGCTGGAGAGATGGCTCAGAGGTTAAGAGCACTGACTGTTCTTCCAAAGGTCCTGAGTTCAATTCCTAGCAACCATATGGTGGCTCACAACCATTTGTAATGGGGTCTGGTGCCCTCTTCTGGCCTGCAGGCATACATGGAAGGAATGCTGTATATGTAATAAATAAATAAATATTAAAAAAAAAAAAGCAGTGGCTGCTCTTCCCCAGATCCTGAGTTCAATACCCAGCAACTACTACATGGTGGCTCACAACCATCTGTAATGAGATCTGCTGCCCTCTTCTGGCATGCAGATGTACATGCAGGAGGAACAATGTATGCATATAAATAAATAAATCTAAAAAAAAAAAAGCTGGGTGTAGCTGGGTGGTGGTGTCAGGCACCTTTATTCCTAGCACTCGGGAGGCAGAGGCGGGAGGATCTCTGTGAGTTTGAGACCAGCCTGGTCTACAAGAGCGAGTGCTAGTGCCACAACAGCCAGGGCTACTCAGAGAAACCCTTGATCCCCCGCCCCCTGAAAAAGGAATAGAGAGGTGGGAACTGCAGCTGAGGCTCAATGTATAAGAGCGTTTTGATGCGCTTTGCAGAGGACTCAGTTCCCAGGACCCACATGGAGGCTCAGAACAAGCTGTGACCCAAGTTTCAGAGGATCCAACACCTTTTCTGACCTCTGTGCACACCACATGCACGGACATACGTGTACACAGCAACCACACACACAGACATAAAATAAGTTTTAAAGCTGTGGTGGTGCACACCTTTAAATCTCAGAACCTGGGAGGCAGAAGCAGGTGGATCTTTTTGAAGAATTCAAGTCCAGCCTGGGCTACAGAGTGAGTAAGTTTCAAGTCCAGCCTGGGCTACAGAGTGAGTTTCAAGCCAGCCAAGGCTACAGAGACTTTGCTTCAATAAATAAATAAAAGGTGAAAAGTGATAGAGGAAGGACACCTGTGCGGTGTCAATTCCCAGTCTCCATATACACATATGTTCATGTGTACCTAACACATGCACACGCACGCACACACGCATGCACACCTGACCTTAGTGTAGGAGTGTAACTCAGAAGTAGGATACTTTCCTAACATAAACGATTGAGTCCATGACTTGCGTTCCCAATGTTACATAAAGCAAGTCAAGGTTTTGTTTTTTATTGGGATTTTGTTGTTGTTGGGTTTTGTTTGCTTGTTTGTTTGTTTGAGACATGGTTTCTCTGTGGAGCCCAGGCTGTTCTGGAACTCATTCTATAGACCAGGCTGACCTCGAACTCAGAGATCTGCCTCTGCCTCCCGAGTGCTGGGTTCAAGGCGTGTGCCACTCCGCTCTGCTAACAAGCCAGGTTTTTATCTGACCCTTATCAATCACCTCTTCTGGACCTTTCTGACTGCCTCCCTGAACTCCATTCCGTGACGCTCTGAGGATGGAGAATCTCTACTGCTTCCCAGGGAGCCAGCATCTGCCCAAGTGCGGCTGTGGGGTGCCCGCTATCCCCAGCTCGCTCTGTCTATACTGCCTGCTATCTCTCCAGATCGTTATTATGGCGCATCTCCAAGGAACCAGAGGCAGCCACCTTGCCCCAAAGGACTCTGAAATCTTGGCCCCATTTGCTTCTACCTTTCAATCCAGACACATGGAGCACAAAGAGGTCTATATTTAAAAGCCTCACCGGCCGAAGTGGGGTAGTGCCACCCCTAGCTAGGTCCCTGCCACATCTGCCACAGGAGATGGCCTAGGCTTCCCGGCTCATGCCTTCAGCTGTTCTAGGATATGTAAAAATGGCTCTGGTCACAAAGTGGAAATGATTAGTTTCTTGGGCATCCCCAGCTTCTGAACCCCCTGGGCTCCAGACACACCTGAGTCCACAGGCTCGGAGGCTGGTGGAAGTGGAGCCCTTGAAGTCACGTGGTATTGAGCAGGCTATGGCCAGGTTTGGAGAGGGGGGGATAGTTTGGGTGGGAGGGCCACACAGATCTTTATAATTTATTTGCTATCGTCAGCACTCCCCCACCCTCTTCAGACAGAGTCTCTCTACATAGCCCAGGCTGTCCTTGAACTCACAATCCTCCCATCTTCGTGCTGCCAATTGCAAGTGTACATCACTAGTTCTGGATAATTTATTTATTCTTAATTGTATTTAATATTATTCTACTAATTTAACATTTATAAGATTCTACTTAATGTTCTCTCGGGGGTTTTTTTTTTTTTTTGACCTTATGTCACGTCATGTAATTCTCCTCATGTCCCCTAGGGGGCGGATGTGGTTATCATGACCGTTTGATAGGTAAGGCAATTGAGGCCAAGTCACCTAGCCAAGGTCTTGGTCACACACCTCCTTTTCATAGATAGTTAGGCCCAGAGCGGGGTGAAGCCACTGAGTGAGGTCATCCAGCTGGGGTGGGACTCAGGTCTGTCATAGGCAGAGACTACGACACTGACTAGGCAGGAAATCAGAGCCGGAGACTGACCACAGGACGCGGTCATGTGAACAGGGGGAGGGGATGGGGCTAAGGGTGAAAGCAAGAATCGGGTGCCATGTCAGCCTGGGGTTCATGCTGGGTGGGGCCTTTGGAAGTGCCGGGGTTGGGTTGAGAGTCGGCTCCCTCCTTCATGCCATGCTGTCCCCTGGGTAGCCACGGCGCCAAGCCCGGCTGTGGATCTGACACCTCGGGCTGCCTGGCTTTGATCAGAATCTGGCTATGGGGCAGGTGTGAAACTGAATCCTAATTCGCCCTTTTTGGCCTGGATGTGACTGCAGACCCCTAGGTCTTCCTTCACACAGCCTGGCCTTACTCATGGTGGCTTTCTTGAATTCTAGAGCACTTCTGCCCACCCAGGGCGCTGCCGGGGCTACAGCCACTGTCCCAAGCGCCGGGCTCCAGGGTCCCCAGGGAGACTCCCACCAGGCCTGCTCTCAGGTGAGCCGCCAGGATCGGGTTCCTCCGGTTTTATGTCCTGCATTGTTCTTGGCTGGGCCCCGGCTTATGAAACAGTAATGAGGGGCCCTGCTCCCGAGGCTGGCCCCTCTAAGGTTTCGGCAGCCTGGAGTACTGCAGCCACCACGGCCCAGAGTCAGGGCCTGGGAGGGCGGCAGTGTGGGGGCCTGAGCCGGAGCCCCCCGGTAACGAGGGTGCTGACAGCCGCCAGCTGCCACTGCCGGAGCCCGCTGCCCAGGTAACCCGAGAGGAGGCGGGGCACAAGGTGCCATGGCCCTGTCTCCCACCACCAGAGGAGGGCCCTGCCATTCTGGGAGGTGGAGGGAATAGGGGGGGAGCCTTCTTTGAGGGGAGCAGCCGTTCCTTCTGGCTGAGCCCAATATCAGTCTTTCCAGGGGTGGCCTTGCTGTGGGCAGTGCCAAGGGCGCACCTCTAGTTTGGGGCTGTGACCCTCTACTTGGGGGCCTTTCGTGTAGTGGAACAGGGCCCTTTGTTTCTTCTAGATCTTGCTAGAAGATCATGCTCGTCCCTCCACCTTCAGACCCCTTCTTCCAGACCAGGCCAAGCCTCTCCTTCCCTCTTGCTTTCTGGATGCAAGGGTGCTCTGGGGCCTTCGGTGCAGTTCCCATTCTCGGGAGTGCACACGTACATTTGTGTTTGCATGATCCTGCACACACATATGCATTGGTGTAGCTGACAGGCCTGTACACATGCAATTGGGCACATATCCCTCAACAATAATATACACATGGGTGCCCCAAACCACAGGTGTTTATACACACACACATGCATATGTACCTGTCGCCAGACTCATGCATGTACACGTGTGCATATGCCCTCCAGGCACCCTGCTGCCTCTGACCAGAGTCCCCAGGGTAGTCCAGCTGATGGAATGGCTGGTCTCCTTGAGCAGGGAGATTCCCAGGAGATGACTTCTGGAGACACCCACCAGTCTGAGCTGGGAGGGGCTGTCTGGGGGAGGGGGAAGGGGAGTCCCACGTGGGCCTGAGCTGTCTCCTCTCTCCGATGCGGGCCCAGGAGCTTCACAGTCCTTCCAGTGCCGAGGCACCTTACTGCGACCTGCCCTGCTGCCCGCCGGCCCCTCAGGACCCACTTGGAACCACCACCTGTGCTGGCCACTCTGTGGAAGGCCTTGACCTCAGGCAGGGCCCTCAGAGGTGGGTAAAGCCCCAGGCTCCAGGGACCGGCTCCCTTGGGGAAGAATGCCCATACCTTCCCTACATGCAACTCTTCATGGTGGAAGTGTCCATCTACAACAGCTGGCATGGGTCACGTGGTCAGCGCACAAAGTGGGCAGAGAGGGCTCTGACAGGGAAACCCTGAAAAGCTCACATTGATCTGTCCTTGTTTTATCTGAGTCTCTGATCCTGACCCTGGGTATCTTTCCTGATAGCCCTGACCATCCCATAATTCCATGGGGTAGGGGACAGTTATGTACTTCTGGTTCCTGTGTACGGTTTTAAGGGATTGGAGGAGCTGGGTGTGGTGGCAGATGGATGTAATACCAGCACCCAGGAAGTGGAGACAAGAGGATTTGGAGCTCAAAACTCGATGGGTTACATAGCTAGACTCTGTCCTCCAGTCCCCCAAAAGATTGAATGGGCCTCTCAGCCAGGGCACCTGATGTTACCCCTGCTTGAGATTCCCTCCAGTCCAGGCCTGAACAGACCCAAAGTTCCCTGCTTGGGTCATGAGACCTTAGGAGGCCACGGCTTGAGGGTCCAGAGAGCTGGGTCCCAGTTTCCCATCTGCTGTGATGGGCTGTGGGGCCTTTGACCTGCTAGGCCATCTTTTATGTCTCACTTTTCCTGTCTGCAGAACAAGGGCCGAGAGAGTAGCTCTGTGGCAGGCAGCGTGCCTAAGATCCTGGGTTTGACTTCCAATACTGCAGAAATACATTTGAAAAAGAGAGGCTGGACCAAGCCCTTGTTTGAGGGCTTGTGTTCCCATCAGGTGCGCGTTTAAGCGAAAAAGAACAAAGAAAAGGGGGCTCTGACAGCCAATGCGTTTCAGACATCTAGGAAAAATTATGAGGACTCTTTCCTGCAGAACTGGACAGAGCATTTGATTTGCTAACCTGCACTGCAGGGTTTAGGCTTTAGGCGTGAAGGTTGGGACATGTGCAGATGTTCTGCAGTTCCTTAGCTAGAGATCCCTTTTCTAGCGTTGTCACGTCTTGCTGGTTTATAGGCCTGTGGTGGGCCACTCTGAGAATGCCGTGAGCTGTAAGCCTCTGGAGCGGGGGCCGCAGGGATTGCATCTGTAAAGTACCCTATTTCTGTAGCTCCTGCCCTTGGAATTCACTTCCCCTCACACCGCTAAACAGCCCTCATCTGCCAGCCAGGCTCAGTGAACCCACACCTCCTCACTCAAGCCGTTTCCCAGGGCTGCGGCCTTGGCCAGGCTCTTGACCCCTCAGATCCTGGGTTTCTTCATCTATGTGGTGGAACCCTCTCCCTTGGGAGGCAGCTAGAGCTCTTGGTGACCCACAGAGTGCCCAGACCAAATGCCCTTGGCACTGGCTTCTTGATCCGTAGCTGCAGACCCCTGCACCATGTGAGTAGGCCCACATGTACAGGGGAGGGCAGCGGGCAGGTGGGACTCAGTCCCTGACTCTGTTACCCCTTAGGGGAAAATAACTGGTTTCTCTCTTCTCCCAGGGGCTGGTCCCCAACAGAAACTCTCCCTGCGGAGGGCCCTGCAACGGCCCCAAGGAACAGGCACCAGGACCCTGAGGCATTACCCTATCTGGAGGGCCTGGCCTATAGTAGCTGTGACAACGAGGGTGCCAACTCTGACACCAGCTCCAGCCAGTACAGCAGTACCCCTCATGAGACCAGTAATTCTTCCTCTGTGGTGAGCTGAGGGCCAGGATCTGGGAGCAAGAACAGGATCAGCCAGTGTCCTCAGTCCTGGAGATAAGAGCTCTAAACTCCAGAGGGCTGAGCTTCCTTCTTACAGAGAACTCTGGGCCAGGCTTGGCCATTGCCTTCCCTGATGGGAGGGTGGGGCTCCTGCTGGGCAGTGGCAGTGTGGGCAGGTGGAGGGAGGCTTTCCAGTTCAATGGGGACTTGGGATGACTCACCAGCTGGCTCAGGTCTCAGGACTGGGAATTAGGCATGGTGTCCAGAGCAAGCGTGAGGCTGACCCAGCTCTGCCCTGGCCACATGCTGCTGAGAATGAGCCCATAGCTGGTCCTGATGTTAAGGTCCAAAGGCAGAGGGAAGGGAACAGGCTTGGGAGCTGGCAGGAGAGAGAAGCCAAGAGGCTGCCCCTTCGCCTTCATGCTTTCAGACCTGTCCCATTAGATCATACCCCCACCCCACAAAAGGAAACGACAAGAATGGGCTCCGCATAAACAGCCTTGCCTGTTCACGCATGTGTGAGGGCCGTGCAAAGGTCTCAATGGGTCTGAGCTCAAGCAAGGCTCTCCAGCACCCTCTATGCTACAGACCACTGTGCCCCTGCTAGGGGCTGAGGCCAAGAGCAGGGAAGTCACTCACTTGAGACCACACAGCCAGGAAGCCGTGGACCTAGGATTTGAACCCATTTCTTCCATTTTTGTGACTTTGGCCCAGATTTTGGTTTCAATGGCCGTACCTCTTTCTCAAAGCTGACAGAGGGTCCACTGAGAGCCCCACTTAGGTGGCAGGTGTCCTTAAGAACCCGTTTTTCTACCCTTCGTGCTGGGATGCAGGCCTAGGGCCCTCTTCTCCTCCCCAGCAAGCTCTTTCCTCCCCCAGCAGGATTGGGATACTGTTGAGAGGCCAGGGGTGGTCTCCAACGCGTACAGACTCAACGTGATGATTCCGAGGAGGCCTCAGGAGGGGTTGAGAGCTGACAGTGCTCGGAGGGTCACCAAGTCCCCTGCCAGAGGGGACACAGTGGGCCAGAGAAAGGAAGGTGAGTCTCAACGACCACAACGTGGTGATGGCCTGGGGCCCCTACACAGCCATCTCACTGGCTCGGCTTCCTTCAAGGGGCAGGATCTCTCTCTTTTTGAATTTATTTATTTGTATTTTATGTTCATTGGTGTTTTAGCTGCATGTATGTCTATGTGAGAGTGTCAGATCCCCTGGAAACGGAGCTACAGACAGTTGTGAGCTGCCGTGGAGGTGATGGGAATTGAACCCATGTCCTCTGGAAGAGCAGCCAGTGCTCAAATCACTGAGTCGTCTTTTTAGCCCTGAGGGTCCAAATCTTAATAATAGAAGTTCTTATTTCATGTGCCATGCTGCCTAGCTTAAGGATGATTTCCCTCAGTTGAAAGATTAGGGCCTCTAAATTCTAAGAGACTGAAGCTGGCTGACCACAAGTGGGGTGCCCGCATTAATAGAATGGAAAGGGACTTCAGGTGTGGCTGGGCCAGGTGTTCAGACAGTGCCCAAATCTCCTCTCCATTCTGAACTTCTGCTGAAGTGGCTCCATTCTTGTTTGTTTGTTTGTTGTGTTTTGAGTCAGTGTTTCACTGTGTAGCCCTGGCTGTCCTGGAACTCCCAGAGCTTCACCTGCCTCTGCCTCTCCAGTGCTGGGATTAAAGGCGTTCGCCACCACTGCCCGGCGTGGCCCCATTCTTAGTCAGACACTTCTCTAGAAATAGCATGCTGACCACCAGAGGGGCCCTCCTGTGTCCCACAGAAGAAGGGCACATCTTTCCTGTGACTACAGCCTCAGGAAGGTTCTCATGGGGACCACTGGGGGTCATCTTCATCACCCAGTTTGGCCTCCTATGCAAACCCCATAGTCTGAGCTAGGAGGAGGGGAGGGTCCCCAGAGGTAGTCAGAGTGCTGTACTGAGAAAGAGAAAGAGAGAGACAGAGAGAGATGGGGGAGGGGACTACTGTTATGCCAAGTCCATGGAGGTTGGAGAGTTTGGCCAGCATCTTGCTGGGATGTGAGTTCAGTATGGTGGGCACCTAATTCTGATCAGGTATCTCACTTCAGTGTGGCCAGGAGTTGGAGCTAGAATGCCAGAAGCCCCACCTCCTTCCCTGATGGCAGTCCTGGCTTTCCATGGTCCTCGCAGGAGTCTTATCAATACATGTGATGTTTGGGTGAAGATGCTAGGGGTCTCAGGTTGAGTTAGCATGGACCCTTGCCCTAGAAAGCTCAGCATCTGGCAAAGCAGGCAGACAGGGACCAGCTCTAGTGGTCCAGAACAGAGGAGGAACAGACACAGGCATGGGGGAAGAAAAAAGAGATCTTTTGTTTTGGTTTGTTTTTGCTTTTTGAGTCAGGGTTTCTCTGTGTAGCCCAGACTGTCCTGGAACTTACTCTGTAGAGCAGGCTGGCCTTGAACTCACAGAGATCCACCTGCCTCTGCCTCCTGAGTGCTAGGATTAAAGATGTGTGCCACCACAGATGGGTACAGGGTTGGCACAGGAAAGCAGGGCAAGAAGGCAGGGCTATGTGGCCCATCAGCAGCTGCAGTTTAAATGTGGATGGGGTGCACACCGGAGTAGGCTGTGCTGGGCCTCCTCAGCCTTGCCAAGAAGTTGGAGTTCTTTTCTCTAAGCACAGTTAGGGCAGGGGGTGAGGAGTGACGTTATCAAACCTATGGCTTGGGATGGTTCTGAGTGCAAAATCAGAATGCATTGGAGCAGGATGAGAAGTCAGGTGAGCCTCCTAGTAATTCCCAGTTCAGCCCGGAGTTGTCACTGGCTAATGCCAATGCTGAATGCCAGGGCAAGAGGTTCCATGCCAACAGGATGATCGAGGATGCTCACAGTGTCCCTCAGACCACACTCGACCTGCAGGGAAAAGGCTCTCTGAGGCTGGGGAGCTTTGCAGATGCTGCAGCAGCCAAGAGGCCACTCAGTGTCCCCATTGGATGATAGGGGACAGGATAGCACACAGCACCTCATCCCTTCCCTTTCAAATCCTGACGCTAAAATGCTCCGATTGGGTGTGGGGGGTACATGCCTGTGATCCTGGTAAAAATGAGCTTTTTTTCTGTAGCTGCCGCTGCTCTGGAATTCCTGACCCTCTTGTGTCTGCCTCCTCCGTGCTGGGATTACAGACAGGCCCCACACAGCCAGGTTTTGCTTCCTGGCTCTTGAAAGTCCCTAGGCAGTGGGTGGTGTCCTCCCTGTGACCTACTTAGCCAGACTCGGTGGCCACTGTCCACCTGGTGGCCACTTGCAGCATTGCAGTCAGGGACTGAGCCTCTGCTAGGCACATCCTGGTTGGCACTGCTCACTGGGGAAGAGGGGGACATAGGACACAGGTTACCCAAGCATAGCTGTGTACCTGTCTTGCATGAAGGCCTCATCCTGTGAGACAGGCTCCTGGGGCATCTGATGGGTGGGGTGGCAGGAGACAGCTAAGCCAGTAAATGGCACAAAGACTAGGCCCACTTTAGGCGAGGGAGAAACAAAACGGGGGGTGGGGGGGATTGTGTGAACTGCAAACCTACTGTGTGCCGCAAACATACTGTGCGTGTGAACTGCAAACCTACTGTGTGCTGCTCACCTCTGCAAGTTCCAGAGGCACTATGGGATCGCCAGGCCCTGTCGCACAGCACTGCTAGGGGAAGCGCAGGTTATCAAGGAGATAGGCACAAGGAAGGTCCATGGATGGCAGCCCTTGGCCAGGAAACAGATGCACTAGAGGAACCCTGTCCACTCCAGACAGAGGGAGCAGCAAGAGCAATGGCCCTTGATGGTGAGGATCCTGTGTTGTGTTGGAGGACCTCAAAGAGTGAGTGCTGGACCCTGGCAGGTGGGCGAGGATGGGATGGAGAAAGAAGGCAACCCCTGCACAGCCTGGGTCTCATTCCAAATCCGGCAGGAAGCCCCTAGAGGGCATTTTCTTATTTTTCGTTTTGAAATAATCTTAGATTTGCCAAGATGGTAGCTATAGTGACTATTGGACTCTTTTTCCAGGTCCCTGGATGTTAGCTTCATGAACAATTGCATGCAGAGGCTGGAGATAAGAAACATTATCCTAGCACTCTGTGAGTTCGAGGCCAGCCTGGTCTACAGAGTGAGTTCTAAGACAGCCAGGGCTATTATGCAGAGAAACCCTGTCTCAAAAATACATACATACATACATACATACATACATGCATGCATGCATACATACATACATAGCATGGGATGTGTCTCAGCACTTGCCTAGCAGTGAAACCCTAGGCCCATACTCATAAAGAACATTAAGACAACTGTAAACTGCAGGCTAATCAGATCCACCGCTTTTCCTTCTATGGTCCCTTTGGGTTTCTTTGTTACAAGATCTTGTTATGCAGCCCTAGCTGGCTTCAAACTCTGGAGCCCTAGGCAGCCTCAACCTTGCAGCAATCAATCCTCCTGCACTCTCCATCTCTCAAGGCTAGTGCTAAGATTATGGTCACCACCAGTCCCAAATCCTCTTCTGTCCTGGGACTTCATGCTGGATCTCTCACGGCATTTAGTCACCTGGTCTCCTCTGGTCCTTCCTCCTGTGAGAGGTTCCTGGCTGTTCCTTACCTGCCTGCCCCTCAAGGGTTGTGAGCAGGGCATACTTACTCACCGTGCTTTGTTGGGGGGACGATGACTGTGGGAAAAGGGCATTCATGCTTTGGGGGAGCTACTGGGATTATCTGAGCAAAAATGACAGTGACCTTGGGTGTGGGGCTGTGGACTGGAGATGACAGAAGCAAGTGGATTTAGGGGACATCTTAGGGGGCCTCAGGGACACTCCAGTGTTGAGAGTTCAGACTTCAGGGACACCAGCTACCAGTGTAGCAAGATTGAAAGGAAGGGGAGGTATGTAAAAGGAGGTGTGTCCTGGTGAAGGCACTCATGGCTTGCTACTTCAAGAAGAGGGACAGGAGCACGCACAGCTGGTGGTTCAGGGATTGAAAGGGTGGTGGTTGACCCCCAGTTTATGGCAGCCAGGAGCCGTGACATGGTCACTGTTGAGGGCAGCACATTCACCCCTGAGGCCAGCACCCCTGTGAAGCCCTTGAGGTGCCTAAAGTGTTAGTTACTTTATACCTGGCAAAAGAAATTTAAAGACATAAAGACAAGGCTACAGTCCAGCATGGCAGGGGAGGCATGGCGGCTGGTCACCATGGATCTGCAGTCAGGAGGCCTCTAGAGCATTGGTTCTCAACTTTCCTCATGCAGTGACCCCCAACCATGACATTATTTTTGTTGCTACTTCATAACTGTAATTCTGCTACTGTTATGAATCATAGTGTAAATATCTGTGTTTTCCTATAACCTTAGGTGACCCCTGTGAAAGGGTCATTCAACTTTCCAGGGGTCACGATCCATAGGTTGAGAACCACTGGCCTAGCTGAATGCTGGCACCCAGTGCAGGCTCTCCTGCCCCTGTGTGTCCTCTCTTTTTAAAAATGTATTGCTGGACAGTGGTGGCGCATGCCTTTAACCCCAGCACTCGGGAGGCAGAGGCAGGTGGATCTCTGTGAGTTAGAGGCCAGCCTGGTCTACAGAGTGAACTCTAGGACAGGCTCCAAAGCTACAGAGAAACCCTGTCTCGAAAAACAAAACAAAAACAAACAAAGATTCATTCATTTATTCGTGCGTGGGTGTGAGTTTACACACATGCGTGTGCACATGTGCCGAGGAGCTTGCGTGAGGATCAGGAGAGAGCCTCCTGGAGTCAGTTCTCCCCACCACGTGGGTCTTGGGGTCGGACTCACAGTATCAGGCTTAGACACAGCACATTCACCCGCTGAGCCCTCTCACTGACCCTCGCTGGTTTTCTCCCTCTTATCCACTCTGGGACCCAAGCACATGGGAGGATGCTCCCCATATTTCGGCCAGGCCTTCTTTAATTAACCCAGTCTAGAAACTCTCTCAAGGACATGCCCAGGGGTTTGTCTCCTGGGCGAGTACATCCTGCTGACAATATTAACTGTCACATGTGATAGCTCTGTCAGGTACCGATTCTGCTCTTTGCAGACACACAGGTGCCCATTCATCAAGGGCGGCCTTAGCTGTGCACACTTCCAGTGTCTGGGATGAGCCTCTGGGGCAGGAGGGGTAGCAAGAGTCCTCAGGTGTAGGTATAGGCATGGGCCCTATGCTCTGGTACCCAAAAAAGGGGTTCCTTAGAAGTTGGGGTGAGGCCGGGCCGTGGTGGCGCACACCTTTAATCCCAGCACTCGGGAGGCAGAGGCAGGCGGATCTCTGTGAGTTCGAGACCAGCCTGGTCTACAAGAGCTAGTTCCAGGACAGGCTCCAAAACCACAGAGAAACCCTGTCTCGAAAAACCAAAAAAAAAAAAAAATAAGAAGTTGGGGTGATTTGTGGGCATCCCATCTGGGAAGTAGAAGCCAGGAGTCAAGGTCATCAGACAAGTGCTCCTGGTCTACCTCTCCCTCTCTGGGGTTGTTGCTCTCCATAGTTTTGGTCTCCTTTGACATATCCATGACCTTCTTGCCCTGGTACCTTTCCATGAGTGATTGTGAATTCCTGGCCTGGCAGCAGACTGGTGTCTAAGCTTGGTCGGTCTCAGCCTGAATGGCAAGGGTGTGTCTCTTAGACCAGACACTGATACCTATTAGAATCAGATTGGGGGCTGCCTTGATTTTTCTTTCCTTCCTGGATCCCTCTCCTCACCTTAAACTTCCTAATTTCTCTCCAGATTCCGGCAGTGGGGGACAGGGTGCTGGCCAGCACTGGGCAAAGCTGCGGGCAGAAAGCGGCTACTTCTCCTTGGAGCGACGTCGTGCAGGGCAAACCCAGGCCTCTTCTGGGACACCACTGAGTGGGCCTCGGACCACCACCCAGGCTGCTTCTGCTCAAAGGGATGTCTTCCAGGATGTTTCTGCACCAGAAACCTCCCAAGTTCCCTCTCTATCCCGTAACACCCAAAGAGACACCCCTAGGAGCTTAGTCACACAGCGGAATAGCCCCGGAACATCCTCTCCTTCAAGAGTTTCCCAAAGGGACATTCATAGAACCATGTCCACCCAGCAAAGCAGCACTCCACTTTCCTCTGCTCTCAGAGCCACTTCAGAGAGCCTCAAGACCTCTACACCCAAAGATGGCCCCCACATCGCATCATCTCCTTGTGCCCAAGCCTCCTCTGTTAACAGAACCACCCAACGGGACAACCCCAGGACTCCCTGTGCCCAGCGGGACAACCCCAGAACCTCCTCTCCCAACAGAACCACCCAACGAGACAACCTCAGGACTCCCTGTGCCCAGAGGGACAACCCCAGAAGCTCTTCTCCCAACAGAACCACCCAGTGGGACAACCCCAGGACTCCCTGTGTCCAGAGGGACAACCCCAGAACCTCCTCTCCCAACAGAACCACCCAGTGGGACAACCCCAGGACTACCTGTGCCCAGAGGGACAACTCCAGAACCTCCTCTCCCAATAGAACCACCCAGCGGGACAACCCCAGGACTCCCTGTGCCCAGAGGGACAACCCCAGAAGCTCTTCTCCCAACAGAACCACCCAGCGGGACAACCCCAGGACTCCCTGTGCCCAGAGGGACAACCCCAGAAGCTCTTCTCCCAACAGAATCACCCAGCGGGACAACCCCAGGACTACCTGTGCACAGAGGGACAATCCCAGAAGCTCTTCTCCCAACAGAACCACCCAGCGGGACAACCCCAGGACTCCCTGTGCCCAGAGGGACAAACCCAGAACCTCTTCTCCCAACAGAATCACCCAGCGGGACAACCCCAGGACTCCCTGTGCCCAGAGGGACAATCTCAGAAGCTCTTCTCCCAACAGAATCACCCAGCGGGACAACCCCAGGACTCCCTGTGCCCAGAGGGACAACCCCAGAAGCTCTTCTCCCAACAGAACTACCCAGTGGGACAACCCCAGGACTTCCTACATACCACAGAACACCCCCAGGACCCCTTCTACCCAAGGAGACAAGACTACAGCCTCCTGCAGTAGATGGGAACATCTCCGAAGTGCCTGTACCCAAAAGGACAACCCAGGACCATCATCTCCCCGCCGTGCCACTCAGGGCAATAGCTCCAGGAACCCTTCTCCCCACCGTACCAACAAAGATATCCCTTGGGCCTCCTTTCCCCTTCGGCCGACCCAGAGTGGTGGTCCTCGAACCTCATCTCCACCTCGCACCAAACAAAATCAGGTGCCTTGGGCATCCATTTCTCTCCGACCAACCCAAGTGGACAGGTCTCAGACTTCAGCTCCTACCAAACTAGCCGACCACAACCCTCCCCAACACTATTCCCCATCCTTAGCCTCCTCCTCTCATAACCCAGGCCATCCCAGTGCCTCTCGGACTTCATCACCTCTGCACCCAGCACGAGGGGCTCCCCAAACCGCTTCAGAGCCCTTCCAGCCGTCGTGTGCTGTGTGCATTGGGCACAGGGATGCACCTCGCGCCTCTTCGCCCCCTCGCTATTTTCAGTATGACCCTTTCCCCTTTTTTCCAGATCCCCGCTCCTCTGAGAGCGAATTGCCCCACCACGAACCCCCCTACATGCCACCTGCAGTGTGTATTGGGCACCGTGATGCCCCCTGGGCCACTTCACCACCTCGTCATGCCCAGTTCGATCCCTTCCCCTTCCTCCCAGACACGTCAGATGCTGAGAACGAGTCCCCTCAGCATGATCCCCCACAATTTCCCCCACCAGTGTGTATTGGGTACCGTGATGCCCCCCGGGCCTCTTCCCCACCACGCCAGTTCCCAGAGCCCTCCTTCTTCCAGGATCTCCCCAGGGCCAGCACAGAGAGCCTAGTCCCTTCCACAGACTCTCTGCATGAGCCTCCCCACATCCCCACTCCTGTATGTATTGGACACAGAGATGCCCCCTCCTTTTCCTCCCCACCACGCCAGGCCCCTGAGCCTTCCCTCTTTTTCCAGGATCCTCCTGGGACCAGTATGGAGAGCCTTGCCCCTTCTATTGACTCTCTGCATGGTTCCCCGCTGCTGCCCCCCCAAGTATGCATCGGTTATCGGGATGCACCCAGAGCTTCCTCTCCTCCCCGTCACCCGCCCAGTGATTTAGGTCTCCTGGCCCCCTCACCTCCCCCAGGTAGCTCAGGTTCTCGGGGCTCAGCACCTCCGGGGGAAACCAGACACAACCTGGAAAGGGAGGAGTACACCAAGCTGGCTGACCTGCCCCCACCTAGGAGGCTGGCCCAGAGGGGGCCAGAGCCCCAGACACAGGGCAGCAACGAGGGCCGTACCCGCAGCCCTGGCCGGGCAGAGGTGGAGCGCCTCTTCGGGCAAGAGCGCAGGTGAGCCAGGGCAGGGGCAGTCAGGTGGGCTGGGGAGGAGAACAGTTGGAAAGTTTCCAAAGCAAGAGTTCAAGCCCTGCTGTGTGGTCTTGGGCAAGCCACTGTATCTTTCTGTATATTAGGGTATTTTTTCTGAGGTTGAAGTAACACTATGTGTAACCATGTAATCAAAACCAAACGAGCAAGCAAACAAGCAAAACTGGGTTTAAACCTGGGTTCAAAGCTACCCTGTATCCTGTGATATCTGCTTAAAGCAATTCAATCTACTTGGGCCTTGGTTTCTTCATCTGTCAAATGGGGAAGACTAAAAGCACATTGGTTTCTTTCTTTTTCTTTTCTTTGTTTTTGTTTTTTTTTCTTTTTTCTTTTTTTGTTTTTTTCGAGAAAGGGTTTCTTGTGGCTTTGGAGCCTGTCCTGGAACTAGCTCTGTAGACCAGACTGGTCTCGAACTCACAGAGATCTGCCTGCCTCTGCCTCCCTAGTGCTGGGATTAAAGGCGCACGCCACCATTGCCCGGCTTTTTTGTTTGTTTGTTTGTTTGTTTGTTTTGTTTTTGTTTTTTTTTCGAGACAGGGTTTCTCTGTGTTGCTTTGGAGCCTGTCCTGACACTAGCTCTTGTAGACCAGGCTGGCCTTGAACTCATAGATACCCTCCTGCCTCTGCCTCCTGAGGGCTGAGATTAAAGGCGTGTGCCACCACCACCCGACTGAAATAGGATTTTGCAGTGTAGCCCAGACTAGCCTTGGACTCTAGGTCCTTCTGCTCCAGGTTCCTGAGTGCTGGGATTACGAGCATACAGCACCACACTGGGCTCACACAGTTACCTCTGTCCACTTCATTCCCCATCCTAGTACATTGTCTTCCCACCTCAGTTAGGGTATTTTCTCTATCTAGTACTTTCCCAGGTGGAATTCCATTTGCCCTCTGAGGACAGCGTGCATTTGCATAAGAGGCAGAATTTATGAGACTGGGGGATGGGGCTGTGCAGGGCTGTATTTTCATTATCTCCTAGTTACTCCTCTGATGTGTACATTTATTGAGCATCTACTTTGCCCAAGCCTGGAACATTTTTCTAGAAGGATCATGTCAAAGACTTAGGCATTTGACTGGTGTTTAAGCCCTTCCTCCCACCCAACTCCCTTAAATGTCTGAATTTTGAAAGAGTCTTCCTTGGATCTGCTGAACACAGTGTCTTTGTTTTGTTTTTAAGCAGGGTCTCACACTATGTAGCCCTGGTTGGCCTGGAACTCATAGAGATCCACTTGCCTCTGTTTCCCAGTGCTGGGATTAAAAGTGTGCACCATCTGTCCTGTTGCTTCTTTGACACTGTTTGGAGGCCCATATACCCATCTGAGTATCCAGAGGAAATTCATTTCCTTGTCATCCACGATACAGTCACATCAACCTCTGGGAACAGGTGGCTCTGCGTGGGTCCTATTGCCAAAGAGCTGGGTTCCCATGAGGGCGGCTCCGAATCTTCTAGGGTTCTTTAGCCCTATCTTTCAAAGCTTATGAGGGGTGAGGGAAGACTTATTGGAAGGAATGACCACTGAACAAGCTGGAAAATGGGCGTTCGAAAGAGACCAAAAATTTTGCACTTCCCTACTGGGTCCCCATCATGTTTGGGACTTTGGATTTTGGTACTTTCATTGAAGTTCCTAGACCTCAATGCTGGGGAAACTTGTTCAAAGGTCTCAAATTTGACTAAAAATGGAGCCTACTAAAAATAGCAGTAGTGGTGCATACCTAGGACTCGGGAGGCAGAGGCAGGCAGACCTCTGCATTCAAGGCCACCGTGGTCCACAGAGCAAGTTCCAGGACAGCCAGAGCTACACAGAGAAACCCTGTCTTGGAGAGGGGTTGGAGCCTCATCAGGGAGTCCTCAAGCTTAAAATCCAGGGACCTTACGGCTTCTGAGGAACCCAACAGCTTCCAGTTCGAATTCTAAGAACATCAGCAAAGACCACAGGACAACAAAGCCCGATATCACGCTTCAGTTTGAGAGGCTGGTCTCCCACTCTCCGCATAGCCAGTGATGCCCCCGAACACCCGGCTTCCCTGCCCTACCTCCCGAGCACTGGGATCACAGGGGTCATCACCACCCAAGGTCCATTCCTTCTGCAAACCTCTACAGTGTTCTGCGTGGTTCTTCAACTGTGGGCAAACTTTAGAAAGACAGTCCTCACAGACACCTGCACAGCCTCCCTCTTGTCTCCTTTGGGGACTCACCCTGGGCTGCCTGAAAGCATCTCTCCTTCCTGGTTCTGCTCAGCCAGCGGTCATGGCCCCACTGATTCGTGAGTTTGGCTTATTTTTGCTGTGCAGGGGATGGACCTTAGGGTCTTCCACAAGCCTCTCTCCATGGCCAGTTGAGATGAAGTCCGATAGTCAGACCCCACAGGAGGTACCTGCTCACGGAGGCTGAGTCTTTTGTCTCTTACTAGGAGAAGGGGCAGACTGTGCCCAGAGTCTGTTAGCTCAGTAACGGTGATGCTATGTTGAATATAACCATAGCCACTCATTGTTAACCCACACACATATCTGGAAGCGAGGATTTTGGCACAGGCTAAAGGTGATCTCTGTTGGGTATGGTGACCTTTGCTGGTGACCTTTCTGTGACTGTCAAGATCGAGAGAGTGTCTCTTCACAGTCACCTGGCTAGGAGCTCTTTTGCCCATGGCTAGAAGGGCCAGGGTTTTCAAAGCTGAGTGCCGGGGTTCCGTTAGCTCCCAGAGGCTTGAGAAATCCTCAGTTTGCAGATGGATGGAGAAGGGGAGAAAGAATGGGAAAACGAGGCACCTAACAGCCACCGCTCTTGTCCCTGAAGTAGGTTGTGCAAGGCTGTGGGACTCAGCACACAGATACTTGTCATCCAGAACATAGGAAGCGCTCAATAAATGCTTTCTTAAAGATTGTCATTATTTTTTGGCTCAGTGCCTGGTACACAATAGATGCTCAATAAATCTGAATTCCTACAAGGACCAGTCTAACCTTTGTCAGGGGTGGCTGGCTGATGGCTGGTGAGTAATAGGAAGTGCCAAATGAGGCGGCAGGGAGCCATGGCCAAGAGCTGCCCTCTCCATTCATTCTCCTGTGCCATCTTTATGGCCTTATGAGTCAGATTAGATGGTGCTGACTGTCCCCATTTTCCAGAAGAGGAAACTGAGGCCCCGAGAGGGTTATCCTCACTTTAGACTTTCAATGAGTCTCTTTTCTGGGGTGGGATGGGAATGCTGGGTGCTGGCATGAAGTCCCAAAGGCCCTCTGGAACAGGTGCATTTGCTCTTAGGAAGTCGGAAGCACCAGGGGCCTTCCAGGCTCGGGATGAGGGACGGTCACAGCGGCCCGGCCAAGGTCAGAGCCAACTTCGAAGACAGTCCAGCCCCACCCCCAGCAGGCAGGTGAGCACTACCAGCCACCACCAGCCCTCATGAGTGGTCATACTGCCTCTCTCTACACCCTCGGTTCCTGGCGGGTGTCCTGGGCAGGGAGGTCCTCTGTGGGAAAGCCAGGGCCACAGCATGGGATCAGACTCCACTTTCTCCAAGGGCAGGAAGCTCTTGGCAAGGTGTGAAGGACTCCATACAAACCCATGAAGACAGCCCCTCAGAGCTGTCCCCATGGAGGTGTCTACTATCTTGAGAGCTCAGGGAGTCTCAGGGGCCTCAGGGGCCTCAGGGGCCTCAGGGGCTGCCTTGTCCAGCATAGGGATTGGATCTCAAATGAGACTCAGAGTGTGATGCACACCCCAAGGGCACAGTTACCCATGGTGGAAATTTGGCACCTGATAGCTTAGCTCGGAAAGACTATCTTACGGAGGGGGAGCCCAGAAAGTGAGCTGTTCTCTTTCTGGAACCGAGAAAATTGGGTGAGAAGAGAGAAGCCGCAGCTCTCCACCTGCTTTGGTCTAGGCTTCTAGGAAGATCCAGCCTCACCTCACAGTCCCCCTTTCTTCTGGGGCTTTGCTAAGACAGACAGCGACTATCCCGTGCAGTCCGGAGCCTCACCCACCCCTTCACCTCATCCACAGGTGATCAAGCCCTCTGCCAAGCAGGCAGAGCCAGCCCGGCGGAGCCGAACAGAGTCCCCACATCCTAAGAGCCCTGAGAAGCGACCTGAGGTAGACCGGCGACTCCAGAGGTCCTCAGCACCTGCCAGGACATCAGCCCAGTCCCCTGAGAGGAAGGCTCAGACAGAGAGACATCTAGAGAGTGGTTGCACTGGCCTAAGGCAGCCTCTGGGAGGGTGGCAGAGTCAGGAGGAGCTGTCAAGACCCCAGAGTCCTAACAGACACCCAGAGAAGATCTGGGGCAGCCAGGAGGGTCCAGGCCTGGGGGGCTGGCCAGAACTTGAGAGTCCCAGCCTGGAGGGGATATGGAGGGGTCCTGCCCAGGAGCACAGGGAAAGGTGGGGGCAGTCAGAGGCCTGGGAGCAACCTCCCAGTAATGGGCGACAGAGGGGTTCCTCAAGGGGCCAAGGTAGCCTTCAGGAGTTGTCCAGGCCTCACCAGCCTACAACCCCCACAGACAGCTCCTGGGCAGGCCCAGCAGAATGCTTGTGTGCCCGGCAGCCTGAGGCCACCACCGCCACAGGCTGGCGGGCTGAGGGAGCATCCCCACATCAGTATAGCCCTGAGAAGCCACCCGACCTAGACTGGAGGGACCTGCTGGGCCTTCTCCGGGCACCTGAGGATGGAGCCTGGACCCGGCTCCCAAGTCTGGACTGGGAAGGCCTGTTGGAGCTCTTGCAGGCTCGGCTGCCCCAAAAGGACTCAGCCAGGGCTTCAGGACCAGAGTTGGGTTCCCTGGGAACAGAGGACACCCTGAAGACAGAGCCACCGACCCAGCCTGATGGATGGGCCAAGGTCGCCCAAGCCAATGGACATAGCCCTGGGCAGCAGTTGGAGAGCCCAGCACAGCTACCCAGCTCTGCCTGTACCTCCACCCAGTGGCCAACAACCAAAGTGACAAGTGGACCAGAAACTTCAACTCTGGCTGCTCTGGAGCAAACAGATCACCTAGAGAGCCACAGCCCACCTAACCTGGCGGTAAGTCTGTCCCACATCGGGAGGGGGTCCAGCAAAGGTGCTGTTCCAAACTGTGTGCACCCTGTTCCCCGACAGTATCTGGCAGTGGTGTCACCAGCTCACAGGCATTGTGTTAGGTCATAGGTGCCATGCGCAGTGAAGAGGCAGCTGCCACTGTTCTCAGCCTATAGATGATAAAACTAAGACCCGTACTCAGTAGAATTTCTTAGGGGCCATACCTGCCGGAGTTTTGATAAGTGATATTAAAGTACCCACTTCGAAGCCTGTGCTTACAGCACTAGGAGACTCTGTCTCCCACCACCTTGTGGCTGTTCTCAGTTAACGATCTAATTCAGCACTAAGACACCAGGGGTGCAGGGTCAGATGACACAGCCCTACCCTCAAGTTGCCATCAGGCAATGTGGAGGCAGGGCCATCGCCTGATGCTCAGAGGAGAGTATGTGTGTGCAGTGCTGTGGCCCAGTGGCCGCTGTCAAAGGGGAGGTGGGAGGTCACAAAGATTGGGGTTCCTCTACTTGAGGCTCAGCATCCCTTGGAGACTAGGGGATGGTGACATGAAGGATGGAGAACCTCTGGCCACTTCAGTAGCTTGGGCGGGGAGAAGAGGCTGCAGAGTGCTCACTGGGTAAGTAAGCCTAGTAGCCAGGATGGGTCCGGTGCTGTACCTGGTGATGCCTCCAATCCCAGAGCATAGATGGGGGCAGGGCGGGGCTGCCCTCAGGCTCTAGCTCTATAGAAACACCACATGCGTTGTACGTGTGTCAATCCGGCATGAGGGACATCTCCTGGATGGCAAAGCAGAGAGTTCCCCAGGTCCTGCTGGGGTTCCGGGTACTTCTCTAGTGATCCTTGTGTGTCATTCAAAGCCCCTTCCTCTTCCCTCCTCTCCATATCTCCCTCTCACTGTGCTGGCTGGAGGACTCTGCATGCGGTTTTGTACACGCTATTCCTGTTGCCGAGGATGACGCTACCTTCCCTTGTCACCTGCCAAATGTCTGCTCATTGTCTAATGTCCTGTCCTCCAATACTAACCCCATCCTGGGGCTGGTGACGGTCCCCTCGTGGGCCTCACGGTTTTGCTTCCATCCGTCACATCGGATACCCACTTCCTCTTAGAACCATGGGCACAGGCTAGGCATACAGCTCAGTGGTAGAGCACTTGCACAGCATTGCCCAAAGCCCTGGGTTCAACCTCCAGCATCATCAAACAAGCAAACATGAGTTCCATGGGGGCGAGGACCTCTGCCTCACAGCCCAAGGCCTGATAGACAAGAGGAATTCATCTCAGTGGATGGCAGACCAGTAGAATCCACAGCTGCTCCATTGCACACAAGAGGGAGATTGGGTGGGACAGTAGTTAGGTGGCAGGTGGGGAGTGAGTGGAGGATGGTCAGATGGTGGTGTTAGGTAGATGGTGGGGTGATGGATAGCGGTGGTTGTTCCGTGATGGCTGAGTATATGGTTATTAGGTGGAATATGATGGGTGGATGTAGCAGGGATGAATACATGGTCAGTCAATAACAGTGAGTGACTGCTGGGAGGATGGAGGGATGGGTGGATGGATAAGTGGACACATGACGGTCAATGGACAGCTAGATGGTGCCTAAACAAAGGCAGGGTGCAGACTGGGTGATGGATGTGCAGGGTGCCAGGAGGGTATGGAGGACAGAGGAGGGATGGCTGGGTTGGCAACATGGATTTAGTGACATTGGATGTACAGAAAATAAACGGACAATTTAGAAGGTAGATGGATGGGTAAATCGTGAGGGATACAGGCTAAACTGTGTTCTTTCTTTTCTTCGGTTCCAGGCAGAGGAGCCTGAGGCATCAGAACCAAGCAGAGGTGAAGACTCACTGACTGACCAGAAGCAGGCTGACTCGGTAGTTGGGTCCTAGGCTTGGACACATGGGGAGGGAAAAGGACGGGAAATCAGGCTGGAGGTGGGATGAGCTCCTCCAAAGAGTCCTGAAGCCATCCAGACCCAGGCTGGCTCTGCTGAGGCCTTAAGAAGAGAAACTTTGGGGGAGGTGGTCAGTAGTGTTACCCATCGCGTGGGGACTTGGTGGGGGATGGTCCTGGAGTCAGAAGCCCAGGGCACAGCTTCCCACTTACTGGCACACTGTCTTTCCCTGAGCAAGTGGCAGCTTGGCCCCAATAGTTCCTGAGGGCAATGTTCTTTTGGGTTTAGAGGGCTGGGCCAGGCTTCCTGGGTGGGGCTGGGCCATGCTTCCTGGAGCAGGGGTCAGGAGCGGTAAAGTGGGCTAAAGGAGGTGCTGCAGCAACCTGGAGGGCCCTGGAGGCTGGAGCTTTATGCACGGGGTGGACCAGGGAGGCTGCCTGGGGCCCGGCTGTAACAGCATGGCTGTGCCCTGATCCTCTCTGCAACTTGCAAACAGAGCTTTCTCACCAGAAGCCTCTGGAGGGGTGAAGGCAGAGGCAGACAGCAGGTGGCAGGTGGCAGACAGCATGAGCCGGAGACTCTGGCTATGTTTTTCTCTTCCCCTGTGCTGCCTCCTGAGTCTGGCCCTGCCACTGGTCAGAGTCGTACACAGCCGTATGCTGTCCAACCCATTTGTACAGACAAGGAAACAGCCAATGTGTGGTTGGACCCAAATAGAACCCAAGACTCTGGTCCCCCTACCTGGCTCTGTACCAGGATTTTTCTGTTGGGCCACCAACCAGCTCCCAAATCATGACACAGAGACTTATTATTAGCTTTCAATGCTCCACCTAGTTTAGGTATTTTTCTGGCTAGCTCTTTTAGCTTAAATTAACCTGTTTCTCTTTATCTACTGCTTGCCTCTGGGCTTATTACCCTTCTTACTTCTGTAGATCTTACTTCCCCTGCTTCTCTATGTCTGACTGGATGGTGGCTGTCTGACTTCTTGCCCCAGGTGTGTGCCTCGTTCTCTCCTCCTTCTTCTCTTGTTCGTTCCTCTCTAGAGCCTGGATTTCTTCTCCTATTTATTCTCTCTGCCCGCCAGCCTCACCTGTCCCTCCTCTGCCTAGCCATTGTCTGTTCAGCTCTTTATTAGACCAATCAGGCGCCTTAGGCAGTCAAGGTAAAAAAAAAAAAAAAAAAAGCAGCACATCTTTACATCATTAGACACATTCAGCATAAACAAAAGTAGCTCACCTTTATATATTCTGTAGCATAGTAGTCTGCAGCATAGACAAATGTAACACATCTTTGCCTAGTTAAAACAACGTTCTGCAACAAGCATCCCTGGGCTCCCCATTCCCACCCTTGTCCACGCTACTTCCTGGCTCTGTCCCATCTATGCGCCTCAATCTACTTGGTGGCTGGTCTTCCCTCCTGTGAAGTGGGGAGGGGACAGAGGTCTCCCATTGCTAACAGGGCACTGACAACTTCACTCTTCCTCTTTCGGGCTGATTTCTTCATGCTTCCTGAAGCCTGGGCTTTGTGAGCAAAGAGGAAATTAGCAATGTGGAAAGCCTCTCCCGACACACACCCCTGCCACCTCTACTGGACAGAGTATTAACTACTCATTCATCCATTCATTCATTCATTCCCACTCACAGCACTTAGTGAACACCTTCTGTGTGGTGGTATGAGTTGAGGTGAGCCACAGTGGGGCCGTGTGGTGGTCAGGGCTGTGGGCTGTGATGGGTTGTGATCTTGGGACGCTCTCCTTTCCTCGGTTCTCTCAGGTTCCTGGGTTTCAGACTCCGCTTCCAGAGCTTGCAGATTCCAGCCAGAGGACAGGAGGTTCTGTCCCCTTTCTCAGCCTGGAGCCTGCAGTGTGGCTTAGGGCCTCTGCTTTGCTAGTGACTCATTTGCCCCAACAAAGGTGACTTCAAAATGGAAGCACTAGGGCTCTGAGACAGGCATTTGTGTAAGTCTGTGTCCATTCCTTCATGTTAATGCCCCGAAGGCCAGGCAGGTAACCAAGCTGATAGGAACAGGAGCTGGGGTCACATGCATGACCCCTTGTCTCCAGGTGGTTGCTGCTGAGATACAATGGACCTAGAGTCTCCACATTTTTCCCACATTTCAAGAGAAATCAGATTTTTTGTTTTGTTTTGTTTTTTGAGACACACTGTCTCTGTAATGCTCTGGCTGCCCTGGAACTCTCTGTAGACCAGGCTGGCTTTGAACTCAGAGATCTGCCTGCCTCTTCCTCTCGAGTGCTGGGATTAAAGGCGTGGGACACTACTGTCCCCCTTTTCTTTTTTTTAATTTTTTAAAATATGGTTTTAATTTGGGCTTCATGTAGCTTAGGCAGGCCTCAAGCTTTCTCTGTTGCTGAAGCTGAACTCCTGATCCTCCTGCCTCCACCTCTGAAGTGCTGGGATTACAAGTGTGCACCACCACACCTGGCCCAGACTTCTTGGTTATTAATGTTAGAAACAAATGCAAGATGATGGATGCATGCCATGTGAGCTAAACATACGTGATCTGTAATTTTCTCCTTTGCAGCCTGCAGTTTGACCTAGGCTTTTGGACACAAGTCCCAAGGATGCATGGAGTCCTAGAGACCCTGTTGGTCAAACACTATGCAGTGCGAGCGAGATAACCAGTTTTTTTTCCTTTGTAGCTCTGAACGGGGGAGGTAGGTGGGAGCCCTGGGCCTTTGCAGTACCAGAATGGTCAGGGGAGGCTGTGACCAGGGATACTCCATCCCATCAGGGACCTACAGCCAACACTGGACCCTGTTTGACAGGCAGCCAAGAGGCCAGCAGAGGGCAAGGCTGAGAGCCCACTCAAGGGCCGACTGGTGACTTCATGGCGGATGCCCGGGGACCGGCCCGCGCTGTTCAATCCATACCTGCTGTCTCTGGGGGTCCTCAGGTGGCAAAGGGTAGGCTGGCTCCTGAGGGGTTGGAGGGGAGAGGGTGGATAGACAAGGGAAGCGGGGAGGAGGCTGGTCCTAGCCAAGAAAAAATGGGAGCTGAAAGGGAGGAGTGGGAGAACCTCATGGAAGGAGAGGACGCTACAAAGCTCTGTCAGGCTCTGGACAGTGGGCTTTTCTGCCTCCGGTGCAGGACACAGATCCTGAAAGCTTTTAAGATGAAGGATGTTTGGGTACTATCCAATCAGCAACTGTTGGCCTGAGCCAGGGAGCCAGGTGGTGGGAGGGAAGGAGGAGGAGGGCCAGAAGGGGTTCTGGATTACAGAGTGTCTCAGACTTGGGCCTGGGCCAGTTTCACAAACATCTGGCCTTACGTAACCCATCCCCTGCCCAGAGAGGCCTGTAAACACTGGGGCCTCTGGTTGGGGCTTCCTCCAGGGCGGGGCGAAGAGGTAGCTACGACTTGACCCCTTCTGCCCCTTCACAGCAAGCAAGAAACAACCAAGGGCTGACTTTGGGGGTTAACTGTTGGCGACTGGGTGACTCTTAGACTTTCCTGTTGGTGCTGAGCCCTGACACTGCAGGGCCCTTGGTGGCGCATGTCTATTTTACAGAGGGTGGGCACAGACTTGAGCCGACAGCCAGGATATCACAGGGCTGGATTTTGCACAGTCCCAAGAGAGAGTGTTTCAGAGAAAGTCAGAGCACTGAATGTCATGCCTATCACATGACTAGGGTAACTGCTGAGCTGCCCAGGGCTAAGGGGAAGGTCCCAGAAGCTTAGAATGCCTAGAGGCTTGGGGACCAGGGCTGCCCTAGTACTGCTTCCTGTCTGTGTTATGGTTCCTCCCTGCCATTCCCTACAGGCAGGGGCACCCAAGGCAGTCAAGCAAACTTGGCTCTCTGGGTGCAGTGGTCCTTCAAGCCTTGGGCAGGATTTGCCTTATCAAACTAACTAAAGGTCACCAACACACAGCAGGGCTGGGAGGAGCTGCAGGGAAGGCCTTGGTGGAGAGAGGATAAGAGAAGTGGGGATTATGATAATAGATTTGCTTCTGGACTTCTGGAACCCCCTGGAAGGACAGATCGTTGTAGTCTAGACTCCCACATCTGTGCGCAGTGTCTACACTACCAGCCGTTACTGTCTACTATATCCCCCGGTTCCATAGCCCATGCAGGACGTGCCTGACTATGTTTGGTCCTCTTCTTAAGGATGATTAGATTCATGTTGTCCACATACTAAGGAGGAAGTGAAGTCTCTTGTTCCATGTCACACATGGGTGCATCTGAAATGCAAACCCTGCTCTGGCCGATCTGAGCATTGAATACTTACAAACCCACCCCTGCGTTGCTGGCCTCCCAGAGCCGCCTGGCAGCTCTTAGTTACCATCCTGTTCCCTACCGGCCGTGTGGCAGCCAAGGCTTGGTGAGTCGGGGTAATAATCTTTTTCTCTGGGGACTAGAATTGTAAAGTACCAGAGATGGAACTGTCTGGGGTCTCTCTGAGGATTGCTGAAGAGCCAGAAAACTAGCAGGAATTCTATCTCTGTCCATACCGGGCTGTGTGCTCTGGTCCACTCCCCTTCCCTGAGTCATACCTTAGAGTCCTCAGGAGAGATGTGGCTCCACGCTGAATATTGCTGAAGTCTGGTCGCTCCAGTCTTTGCCAGCATAAGTCACTTCCGGGCCTCTGAGGTCCCGCATCTCTCTTGTGCTAGGGTGATCTGTGATCCTTTCCTTTGTGTACTCATTCAGTTAGCCAGTGTTTACTTAGGGTATACCGTAGGCTAAGGCCCTGGGCTGGCCTCCAAGATAGAGAAAGACATGCTCCATTATTGCCCACAAGAGAGCACATAGAGGCGAATACCACGACAGGCTCCTGGGTCAGTGACACTGTAGCAGAGGGACAGGCAGAAGTCGGGAACATTAACAAGGGGTCAGATACAGGGAGCATGGGGCATGGAGCAACATATTGGGAGCACCGAGTGAGGAGCAAGAGGAAGACAAGGAAAAAGGGAGACAGAAATAGGGAGTATTAGGCAAAGCAACGGGCATAGGAGATATGGGCAAGGAATCAGATTCAGGGACACAGGATGCGGGGCCAGATGCAGGGAGTACAAGGCAAAACATTTCCCCCCAGTGTTGGAGATGGAACCCAGAACTTTGTGGGTGCCAGGCTATATCATGTAGCTATGCCTCTGGCCCTGCTGGGAAAGGTGCTTGGATGAAAGGAGCGCTAGGGGAGGAATAGGAGCACTAAGCAGTGAGGGCTATGTCTGGCTGGGGTATGTGGCTCTGTTATACTGGGACTCCAAGGGTGAAGGGAATTTTCCATGCATCTTTTTGTGAGGTAGTAGGAAAGGAAACTCTCTCTCTCTCTCTCTCTCTCTCTCTCTGTGTGTGTGTGTGTGTGTGTGTGCGCGCGCACACACACACACATGCATACAGAAGGCAGCAGTCTAGAGTCCAAAGGTCTGCCCTTCCACAGGGCTCTGGGAGTTCCGCATTGTGTCCGTCATATGGAAGAGGCATGTAGAAAATTTAGTGCAGTCCCAGGCAGGTTATAAAGGAAGCTGACTGTGCAGAATCCAGTGTACTGAGTTGGTCACCGTCACTCTGGTCCTTGGGTTGAACTTACCAGTAGGCGACTGACTCTCAGGGCCAAGAGCCAGGAAGCTGGTGCTTTCTGTTCCCAGGCACCCGGTGGGAGGCGGTTTCTCTTCTTACTCACTTTCCAAGGGCTGACAACCTTTAAGGAGTGCAGAGGGAGGGTGGGAAGCAGATGGGCATCAAAAGACTAGCGTCTAGAGGAAGTAAACTTAACATGTGTGTTGTTGCAAGGAGACTTCAACAGAGACGCTAGGAAAAAACTCACTCCCTGGACCTCCGGCTCCTTATCTGTAAAATGGGCAGAGAATCAGAGCGCCATAGTAATTGCAGTATACAATACACTTTTATGTATTTCTTTATTTTTGAGACAGGGTTTGATATGTAGCCTTCAACTCACTTCTTGTGGTGATCCTCCTGCCTCTGTCTCCAAGTGCTGGGATTATAGCGGTATACTCCCATGTTTGTTTCTTTCTTTGTTTGGGGTCTTCCTATTTAGCGCAGGCTCAGGTTAGCCTAGAATTACATACTTTGCTCAGGCTGGATTGGAACTCTTGAGCTCCCTGTCTCACCCTCTTCCTCAGCCTATACCAGTATGCCCAGCAAGAGCAATGCTTTTGAGCTCCAAATCAAGTTGGCAGAGTATCCTAAACTGCAAGTAACCCAGGCTCCCTGGCCCACACCTAAGGGTGGCTAACTAGAGATGGAGAAGTTATTTTAGTTGCTTGACTTGGTTAACACCCATGGGTCATTGCATCAACTCATTTACCCAGGGTGAGATTGAGGCTTAGAGCACTCCAGTACCTTGCTTGCTTAAGCTAACAGGGTTAAATGGCTACTGTCACACAAACTTCCGGTGCAATCAGCAACAAATTCCACCGACGTCCCTCCTCACCTAAAGGACCACGATGAGCTTCCTTCCATAGGCAAAGAGAACACAACATATTGACAAGGGAGCTGGGAACACGGGCAACAGGTGCACACCCACACCCGGTAACCCCGCACTTCTTAATGGAAAGTCCCACTTGGGAGATTTCGAGAAAGCTTTCTATCTTCCAACTTCTGATAAATAAGCTGCGCTCGTTTTGTGCGCAATTTACTTGTTAGGATCCTCTCTGCCCCATTTCTCTCACCCCCACCCCGTGAGAACTCGGGCAAGTAGATCCATCTTTGAACCACTGCGTTCTCGTGGGTAAAACACAAACAAATGAGCCCCAGGTCCGTGGGAAGCACGAATGCCGACTCCGTAGATAATGAGTGGAGCTCGCTGAGTCGTTAGTATCGGGTGTTGTACTCCGTCTTGCGACCCAGGCGCCAGGGCCGGGTGCATCCATCATTCGGACGGGGTTGGGGGACTCTGACTCTCGCCCCAGCCGTGGAGACCAAACTGCCCCGCCCCTGCGCCGTCGCCGGCAGTCACCTGCGTGTTGGCCCTTCCTTCCTGCAGGCCGCCAGCCGGAGCCCGGCCCTCCCTGCCCGCCGCCCCATCCGCCCGCCCCGTCGCGCAGGCCCCGCCCCCCGGCCCGGCCCTCACCCCCATTGGTTCTCTCATCGCCCCCGCCGCTGTTTGCCGCGGCTTCCACGCCTCCCATTGGACCACCCGGGTCCTCCCAGGAAGTTTGAAAAAAAAAAAAGTTTTATGGGCGGATGGAAGGGGCCGGGGCAGCTCCGGGGAAGGGAAGGGCTGGAGCTGAGGCGGCCGGCGGCCGAGAGGGGCGGCGGGCTGGGTGCGCCGCGGAGCCCGGCCCGAGAGTCCGGAGCAGCGTCCCGGGGCGCCGCCATGACGGTGAGTGGCCCCAGCCCGGACCCGGCGAGGCCGGGAGCTGAGTGTGGGGCAGCTCGATCCAGACTTTTCTCCCTGGTCCCCTGCCCTTCTCCCCGCCGTGGAGCCCGTGCGGTGGAGGGTACTAGTCACTGACAGACTCAGGGAGACACTTGCCCCGCCTGCCAGCCCCCTGGTGGAAGTACCACTCCCCCAGGCTGCTTGGCTTGGGCCTGGGAAGAGGTGCTCCTGGCCTTGATGCGTCGTGTGATATGTCCAGCCCATGTGGGCTCTAGCCAGAGTTTGGGGGGTCCGGCCCCTCCCACTCCCACGGTTGGGAGCCCCCTCCTGGGGCGGCTGAAACTTGAGTCCTCTAGGCGTTGGGCGCTGGGGACCTTGGGCGGGGTCAGAAGTTTCAGTTTCTCTTGGAGGTGGGCTCTACCAAGATTTGTCAATCAATGGCTATGCTCTGATAATTCTATCGAATTTCACAGCTGAGAGCGCTGTTCTCCCCATTTCACAGCCAAGTGAGTTGAGACTTGGGGAGGGGCGCTGGTGAGGTGTAAAAGAAGAAACAGCCTGTTTTCAGGACGGTTTGACCACCTGGCCATGGTGTTCTGGAAAGGAGGGGTGGGGCTGCTTTTGATTTCTGCCTGGTGACCCAGACTGGCCCTCCTGGGGTTGGGAGGAGGATGAACAGGGTGTGTATGCACATGCGCAAGGGTAGGCCTGGTGAGGGGTGGGCTGTGCTGCTGGGGGTGTGGCCTGTGGGGTCCCTGCCGTGTGTGTGTGTGTGTGTGTGTGTGTGTGTGTGTGTGTGTGTGTGTGATGACCTGGCTCTGTTGCCTGGATTTCCTCGGCCTCCGCACATCCTGCCACCTCCCTACTGGCCTTTCCTGGCGTCAGCAGCCTCCCCTTCCCTGTTACTGAACGGAGGGATGTTGGGGGAGGAGTTGAGTCAGTGTCCTGGGTTAGGGGGAGGTGGTTGCCTGGCCCACTGGGTGCCTGCCAGATACTTTGATAGTACCAGATTGATCCTCTCAAGGTTGATGATAGCATCTCCGTCATTTAGTTAGGGAAACTGAGGTGCACCAGAGAAGTATAGCCCTGGTGATGCAGTTTGGCCTTTTACTGGACCAAAATTTATACCCTGGTCTGTCTCAGTTTGCTTTCTGGGGAGAGATAAGAAATGTACACAGTTGCCACTCCCAGGAAGCACGTGCTAAGCAGGGTGAGTCTGCTAAGCGCCACATGTGTGCCTGTATCCTGAAAGAGGGATGCCAGGGGGCAGGGAAACGCATCCCTGCTGGTGGGAGGTCAGGGCTTCCTGCAGGAGTTGTTCTCTGATTATGTGACTCTGTCAGATGGCGATGGACTGTGGAGGAAGGGGCGTGTCGATAAAGGGGCGTGCCAATAAAGGGGCGTGGCTAATGACCATCTCAGGGATGCTGGAAACTTAGGGAAGGGATCTGAGAAAGGGCCCTAGCTTGAGCCAGGAGCAGTGGGGAGACACGAGTGGTTTGGAGCCAGGAACAGGCTTGTGGTCACCGTCCACAGTGCTCCCCGGGCTCGTCCTGGGCACCATTCAGACTTGAGCCTCCTTGTTCATGGAGCCCATCCCCCTGACATACACACCTTGCTACCAGCTGAGTGTTCTGTACAGAGCAAGTGACCAAGGAAGGCTTCAGGGAGCTGGTAGATCCGGGCTGACCTGGACTCCAGAGCTCTTTCTCATTTCTCCTTCGCCGGGGAAGCTTTATGAAGGAGCCTCAGTCTGCAGTCACCGCTGGGCATCAAATTATATACTTGTTCTGCGTGTTTACAGTCTGTCTCCTAAACTCCCCGCCAGGGCAGGGACCATGGCTCCTGTTCACAGCTGATAGCTTGCCCTAGAACAGTACCTGGTGCCTTTGAAAGAGTTTTGTTGTGCTTTTTGTTTGGTTGGTTTGGTTTTGGTTTTGGTTTTTTGAGACAGGGTTTTTCTGTGTAGCCCTGGCTGTCCTGGAACTCGCTCTGTAGACTAGGATGGCCTCAAGTTCACAGAGATCCACCTGTCTCTGCCTCCTGAGTGCTGGGATTAAAGGTGTGTGCACTGCTGCTCCCCCCCTCCCATCTTAACCAGCCCACCTGGAGGGAAAACCAAAGTGCTTACAGTAATCTTAATGCAGCAGAGGCCTCTTGGGGTTATGGGAGGTGGCTGTGGGCAGCAGGTGGGTGGCATGGATTAAGCCCTAAGAAAGAGGCCTCAGATGACGCAGTTAGGCAGGTCTGAAGGTTTGGTCAGTGGAGAAGGACATTTAGTATTTCAGGTTGAGGACATAGCGTATGTAAAGGACTTGGGGGATTGTCGCCGTGTGTTGGGATCTGTGCTCACTGGTGGAATCGTTGGGATAAATATGTGGGGGCAGACCAGGCTGGCATGGGAGATTAAGGCATTAGATGACCCCTTGAAGGTGTGTACTTTGAAGGGGCTGCAGCTGTGGCTGAGGTGATGGGCAGGAATGACTTGTGGTACTGGTTGGGGAGGAGGGCATGAGAGCCTCTGGGTGTTCCTGCCTTGCTGGTAGAGAATGGGCAGCTGAGCCTGAGGAGCTGGGGAGATGGCGGCTTTCTAGATGCAGCTTGTCAGATTCAGTTTTATTTGTGTGTGCGTACGTGTATGTGCACACATGCATGCGTGTGTGCACACACCTAACTCTGGCAGAAGCTAAAGGGTGACTTTGGGTATGTTTCATTCCACTTTATTTTTCAGACAGGATCTCTCAGTGAATCTGGAACTTTCTAGTTTAGCTAGATTGGCTGACAGCAAACCCCAGAGCTCCTCCTCCACCTTCCCGAACTAGGATTATAGGCATGTACCATCGCACCCAGGCTTTTATGTGGGTGCTGGGGTCTAGCCTCAGGTCCTCATGTTTGTGTGGCACATACTTCTCTGACTGAGCCTTCCTTGCTCTTGTCAGCAAGGTCCCCCTCCCAGGATTAAACGCTCACTCTGCTGCTCTTGGCTCCTTGAAGTTGCCATGCTAGGTCACACCAGACCTGCCGTGCCTCTGTTGGTACTGGTCTTGGGAGTCATCTGGGAGCTGTTCTGACTACAGTATGTTCAGAACCCCTAGTCACTGCCACACATATGAGCCAGAGCCTGGAGGGGGCTGCGCACGTGGCGAGGGGAGGTGGTGGTCACCGCCGCTTTGCTTCTAATGCAGCACTCTGGGTCCCTGTCTGTCACTGTGCCTGGGGGCCTTCCTTTTTGGGTCAGCCTCACTGAGAGTGCCAGCTCTATAGACCGAGCCCTGACTTTTGACTCCTTGGGGCCAGTTTGGGGTCGGGATCTACCCCAAAGCACAGGAATTTATGACAGGAAGGTGGACGATATTTATACACTGTTTCTCCTGAGACCTGTTGTGACTAGGCCTCTCTTCCAGGTCCTGGGGCTGTGGGGGTGGGCGGACCATGCTGAAGGGAAGTGGAGCCAGCTACGGTTGGTCACTGTCTTCAGTCTTAGTTGGGGGTCATCCTGGGTTGCCTTGTCACAGATGGGAGACTGACAGAATAGGGAACAAACAGGGCGAGCACAGCCCCAGGGTTTCCGGGTTTGGAGCATAGCCCGCCTCCTCCCTCAGACAGGTATGCAGAGTGAGGGAGCCCCAACCTCGGCTGTGGATGGTTCTAGGTGTTCAGACTGCTGGCCTGGGGCTTTCTCATCACGCTTACTCTACCTGAGGAAAATGGGGTTCTCTAGCAGAGAGCAAGCCCACAGAGATGGCCAGGTCAGGTGGCTCTGGTTCCCAGCTGCTGCCACCCTTCTGCACTATGTCACTGACTCCCTTCATGCAACCAGACACCTTGGCCCGGTGAGGCTCACTTGCTGTAGACTCTGATAGGTGGGCTCAGAGCCATGGCAACAGGTGGCCACCTCCTCCCTGCCAGCCTGTTTGGCCAGCCCAGTTCTCTTCCCTGCCAGTGGGCAGGAGCTGAGGCTACTGAAGGACAGGGACCTAGATTGGTGAGGGCACCAGTGGTCAGGGAGGGTCTGGGGGATGATGCTCTCCAGATGGGCAGTTCAGGAAGAGCAGCTTCATGTAGGCCTGGGCAGAGAGAGCTAGCTCACAGCCTCCCTCTGGGACATGCTGCAGCTGGGAGCCCCCAACTCCAGGGCTCTGCCTCCCTGGGTAGGACCTGCCAGGTAAGGCTTGCCAGGATTGAGGTGCCATGGCCTGTCCAAGGAGACCTAGGGGAAAGAGGCCATCTGGTCCTCAGCCTGGGCCTGGCTTGACCCTTAGGGTCGCAGGCTTGGTGGGAGGATGAACAGAGGCTTGGGTAGAGCATTGGGTTGTGTTCTGCATGGTCTGCCTGGATCCTGTTGAAGAGGTCATGGACTTCTGCTAGGCTGTTTCTCAAGGTTACGCTCTGGACTTCCTAGAGCTCTCTTCATAGGCAAACTTCTTCTGTCTCCTCTCTCTCCATCTTGGGTGGGGCCAGGGAGCTTGGACATCTGGGGTGTGTGTCTTAGCCACTCAGCCCAACCTCTTGGCTCTCAGAGAATGCTGAGGAAAAGAGCCAAGGCTGTCTCTGTGGCTGGGAGCCTGCTTGGTTCTGCTTGGTTTGGGGGAAAGTTCCCTGAGTCCCTTGCCCTCTTCATTGGTCTCTCAGGACCTCAGTGTCACAGGACCAGGGCAAGATGACTGTCATAGTCCCTCCTAGCAGCCTGCTTGGCTTTCCTCCTGAGTCTGACCATTTGCCTTTCCATCTCCCTGCAGCCCGACCTGCTCAACTTCAAGAAGGGATGGATGTCGATCTTGGATGAGCCTGGAGAGGTAGGAGTCTGGGCTGGAGGGGAGAGGTTGGCTGACTGATGCAGGGCTTCTGTGGAAAGGCCCTTGGAGTAGGCATGGGGGTCCAAGGTGAGGGCCAGGTGAAAACCCTAAAGGAGTCGAACTTCTGGTCCAGGGAAAGGGAGGCCAGCTATGAGCTTCCTCATCAGTTTTAACACACAAGTTGCAGGGTGGAGCCTCCCTGCTATGCACACTCCGGGTGCTAGCCCCAGTTCTCACCAGGAGCATCTTGGCTCTCCTTCCTTGTGACAACATCAGCTAGGAATCCGAGGGTCTTGGGCGGAGGCGTCACAGAAGCCTGAGTTTTACAGATTGCCAGACACTGGGGTATAGAGTGGGGCACTCTCAAATCTGGGGCTCTGTTGGTGAAATCACAGCCTCAGTCATGAGGTCTATGACGTGCAAATGACGGACAAAGTGGAGAACAGAGTCACAGAGGTTGCTGTGTGAGGGGCCAGAAGCCTCTACTGCCTGCTGGGAGCTCAACTTATCACCCTCCATCTATCTAGTCTAATGTATCTGTCCTTGGAAGTGTCTGGAGCAGCACTGGTCACTTGCTCTGCTCTGTCAGCTGCCAGGCAGGCTGGAGGCTGGGAGCTAAGCTGGCCCCCTGCCTACTCCGCCTGCATGTGCCTGTGGCTCAGATCTGCGTGCGGCCGCATGCCGGGCAGGGCTCCGAGCCAAGGGGAATCGCATTGTGTTTCCTGCCCACGCGCTTTATTCCCCGCAGCCAGCAGCCTTCTGTCCCTGCTGCCTGCTCAACGTCCCTTAGTGGCTGCTCTCCAGGCTCACACAAGCCCTGGCACCCTGCCAGTGACCCCTTCCTGGCCTCCTTACCCAAGGTCCCTGGAGGGCAGAGGGATTAAGGGCCCCACCCAGAACTGGCTGTTACTCATGCTCGTTCATAGGATTTTGGAATGTCCAAACTGGAAGGGCTTTGGGAGTGTGGCCAGCCCGGCTCCTTGTGCACAGATGGGAATCAGGCCCCCAAGAGTGAGACCTCTTTCGGGCAAAGTGATGTCTTGGGCAGCCCAAGCCTAGACCTTGGAACCTTAGGTCCTCAGAGCTCCATCCAGCTTCTATTGCAAACAGTGACAGAGTAGGCCTAGAGGGCCGAGACACCATTTTCCACAGAACCCACCTACTTTGCAGAGACAGTTGCGGTCCCAAGTGTTACCTGAGTCCACTCCAGGGGCAAGATTGTTCTAAGAGGCTGACCTCTTTGAACTGTTCCCAAGATCAAGTACCACATGCCATGAGAGACACATGAGGGATGGATGCCTCCAACCTGACTCAAAGCCTGGGGACTTCTTATCATCCCCACTGTACATCGGAACACTAAAGACTGGGGAAGTGGAACACTGACTGATGGGCACACAGCAAGGCAACACTCATACTCTGGGTTTTTGGTGCTAAATCCTATTTCTCCGGGGAGAGCACATAGAAAGAAATAGAAAGACTCACCCTCAAATGCTAGAAACCGTATCCTGTCTTTAGGGAACAAAAGCAAGAAACAGCACCAACAGGGATGGGGTGTCGGGAGCCCCAGGAGGGCTGGACAGGGAAACACCCATCCTGGCAGTGGGCTGATCCCAACTGACATTCCAATAAAGTGGCAAGAGCCCAGAGGGAGGCTGAGGTTGGCGCGTGGAATGCCAGGTTTGTATGCCTGTCCCTTGCCCGCCTCACTTGGTGGCCTAACCTTGGCCTCCTAAGAGGCAGAGCAGGGACACTCAAACTGCAGCTCACAAATGTTAGGGTTCACCAATGCGCTCTCACAGTGGAATCTGTGCATAATCGGCCCACAGCACAGATGGGGAAGCAGAACTTAGTTGCTTGCCCCAGGCCTCTTTCTAGTCCTGTCTAAGAGATCTTTGTTCTTGACCCTGTGTCAATCCAGTGGGCATGTGGAAAAAGACTGGCAGAGGTCTGGCCCAACTTAGTCACTGACTTGCTAAGCATTTAACCTCTCAGAGCCCTGCCCCTTCCCTCGTCTGGCTGGAGGAAGGCACATGCTGAGCTTTGATGTCTTCTGAGGGGTCTGGAGTGGCCTGAGAATCCTTCAGTTGGCAGAATGGTTGCCTACCAGGCATGATCGTTGGATTCAATCCCCAGCCTCACACAGTCCAGGCATGACGGCTCATGCCTGTAATTCTAGGACTCGGGAGGTGAAGGCTGGATGATAAGTTCAGGGTCAGGCCAACAAGACAGTTTAGCTGGTAAAGCACTTGCCACGGCAAGCCTAGTGACCTAAGTTGATTTCTAGAATCCAGGACGGGTAGCGGTAAAGGAAAGGGAAGCCTCTCCACGGTTGTCTTCTGATACACACACACACACTGTGTACATGTATCCATACACATCCTAGTCATGCTGGCTACATCAAAGACTGAAAGCCAGCCTGAGCTACATGGGACCCTGTCTCAAAAAACAGTAACATGGGGGTGAGCAGGCCAAAGAAAGGCTGTTCACTGAGGCCACAGAAGACATAGTTACCGAGACGGGCCGGTTCACAGCCACTGTCTGCTTGTTCAGATCTGCCTTTCTAAGCTGTGACTCCCGTCACACCCCTCAGCTGTAAGGATGGGAGTAAGGGATGGGACAAGTGCACGCAGTCTTCCTTGCCCCTGCCTTTCCCTCACCATCTCCTCCTTCACAGTGGAAAAAGCATTGGTTTGTGCTGACGGATTCAAGCCTCAAATATTACAGGGACTCCACCGCCGAGGAGGTGAGGTGCCTGGGTGGGTGGGTCCTCATGGTTAGGGTCTGTGGAGTGTGGCTCCACAGGGCCCATGTAGACCGCGGTGGATCCTCTTGCTTTAGGCGGATGAACTGGATGGTGAGATCGACCTGCGCTCCTGCACAGACGTCACGGAGTATGCGGTACAGCGCAACTATGGCTTCCAGATCCATGTAAGGCCGCATGCAGATCCGGGAGGTGGAGTGTGTAACCCAGGCCTGGGCAGGTGTCAGTCTGACTCACTCGCTCATTTCCCGTCAGACCTTCCTCCGCCGGTCAGCAGTGCTGATGCCCGTATTTAGCATATTTAGGGAGACTTGGAGCAAGGCTGGCAGAGGGTTTTGTACCTTCTACCTACCTGACCTCATACACCCTCCTGGGAAAGAAGGACCACCTCCACAAGGGGAGGGGACACGGGGCTGGCCATGTGGCAAACTACATGTAGAATGCCCTTGCAGACCAAAGACGCCATTTATACCTTGTCGGCCATGACCTCGGGCATCCGGAGGAACTGGATTGAGGCTCTCAGGAAGACTGTGCGCCCAACTTCAGCCCCAGATGTCACCAAGTATGTGTTGGGCTGGGCCCTGGGGGAGGGATGATGCCGTGTTCCTGTGTGGGGCTTTGCATACTCACCTAAGGGCCCTGTGGCTCTACCTTCTGGGGCTCAGTTCCTCCAGCAACTAACTGTGAAAGAGCAGCACATGCTCTTGGCCATCCGGAATCCATTGAGAACTTAGGTGTGATGCCCTGTCTCATTAGGTCCCCTTACATTCTAAAAGCTGGAGAAGGTTTTGGTGATTTAGAGAGGAGGCTCAGGAGGCAAAGTGGGCTCTTCTGTGTGCTAGGTACTGTGGCTTCTGCACATGGCCCCCTCTGGCTGCTGTGGTAGAGGGCAGGGGTCTGTCTGTTACAGTGTGTGAGGAGCTGAGGTGGCTGCAGGACAGAAGGTAGGCCGTTTGAGTCCCCAAGCCTGGCTGCACCGTGGTTTTTCAGCCCTAGGCCAGAGGCTTTCCCATCTGCACTTCAGCTTCCTCACCTGGCACGTTAGGTATCTGGTCTGCATCCGTGTAGGCATGTATCCTGGGGCCTTGGTGAATTCTGCAGAAGCGTGCTGTTGGACTGTTTAGTGTGCAGGCTGGAGTGCTCTGCAGGACTGGCTCAGATGTTTAGTACAAACCCAGTGCACAGCTCAGCCCCCCCTAGCTTACTGCTTGGTCGTCAGGTCAGAGGGCACAGCTGAAGTGCTGAGGAGGCCCTTTAGAGGGAGTCGCTTTTACCCCACGCCAGAATGTGGTCACATGATTACAGTGCTGCAGAGGATGCTGGAAAGTATAGTTTGAAGCTGAATGGCAATGAACACTGCTGGACTGAGCTGCAGCTGTCACCCGGTGTCTCAGCCGCCTGTGCTCTGTTCACTCAGGTGTCAGTGTCTCCCCTCATCAGCATCCCCTACCCTGAGCCTGACCCGAAACCCAGGGCCTAGCCTTATGCACTTTGTGTGTGTGTGTTGCCTGTATATGCATCATGTCGTGCAGGGCCCTTGGAGGTCAGAAGCAGGTGTCAGGTCCCCTGGGTTGTGAACCACCATGTGAACTCCAGGAACCAAACCTCTTAACTGCGGAGCCATCTCCTCAGCTCCTCGTGAAGCCGTGTTACTGTTTTATGCCTGTAATAACACAGGCGTTGGCACTTGTAAAGACTCTCCCGTTTACTTTGCACACTGAGCCCCCACACCTGTGCCGTGTGAGGGCTTGCTGCCCCGTGTCCCAGATACGGTCGATGAGACTATGAGAGGGAATCTGCTGGCAGATGCTCTTGCTAGGGTCCTCCCAGGGTCTGATAATGAGGCGGAAGGTCTCCACCTCTAGTCAGAACTGCCTGCTCCCTGGAGTCCCTGCCCAGTCCCTGGCCTGGACCCCTCTCAAAGTGCTCTATGAGCTGGAGTGGGCAAAGATTGCCCCCTGATGCAGCTCCACTGATGTCCTAGGCTCTCAGATTGCAATAAGGAAAACACGCTGCGTGGCTATGGCACCCAGAAGGGCTCCCTGAAGATAGGCGAGCAGCGGACAGGCTCTGAAGTTTTCGGCCGCGGTGGCCCTCGCAAAGTGGATGGACCACGACAGTCGCTGGACTACGTGGAGCTCTCTCCATTAACGCCAAGCTCCCCACAGCGCGTGCGCACTCTGTCCCGCTCTACTCCTGAGCGCCCGACCAAACATGAGGATCTGGAGCGGGACCTGGCTCAACGTTCTGAGGAAAGACGCAAGTGGTTTGAGTCCACGGACAGCAGGACCCCAGAGACGCCCAGTGGTGATGGGCCTCGGAGGGGCCTGGGAGCCCCCCTGACTGATGACCAGCAGAGCCGCCTCAGTGAAGAGATTGAAAAGAAGTGGCAGGAATTGGAAAAGCTGCCCCTGCGGGAGAACAAGAGAGTGCCACTCACTGCCCTGCTCAACCAAGGACACAGCGAGCGACGGGGGTCCCCAAGTGACAGCCATGAAGCCCTGGAAAAGGAGGTAGGCCTCCCTCCCCATCAGGACTCCTCTGGTACCAGTGTGCATGACCTGATATTGGCCTTGCAGCCCTACAGTGTCTAGGATCTCACCCCATATCTGACCTGCCAACTGACATCTTAGGCACCTCACAGGCGCTATTTCCCCCAGCCCTTAGAGCTGACTTTGTTTTGTATGGCTTTGTCTTTGTTCTGTCCTTAACTACGGGGAAGACACCAGAGGAGAGGCAAAGAACAGGCCCTTTGCTTTGCGAGGTGCCTCTTTGCCCTCCGTGACATCTGTCCTGCTAGGCCCCACTCCTTTCTCACACATGGAAAGTGAGGCACAGGGATGTCCCCCCATTACAATCATGGGTGATAGCTACATCCATGATTGTGTGCTGTTCCCAGCCTTGTCTGGGTCAAAGCTCACCCGGGTCATTGACCTAGCCATCCTGGACCCAGCCACGAAGTCCCTTTGTCTGCACCGTTTGCTGGGGCTGCTGCCCCTTCTGCAAACCAGAGCTGTTACTAAGCACACCGGGGAAACTGGGCTCCCTGCCTCCCACCAGCACCCTTCCCCATTTTAGGATGCCTGTTGACCTAGTCTTCCTGTGTTCAGGTCCAGTCTCTCCGTGCCCAGCTGGAGGCATGGCGTCTCCGAGGAGAAGCGCCTCAGAATGCCCCCAGACCCCAGGACGACAGCCATGTCCCTCCAGGCTACATCTCACAGGTAAGCTGAGGAGGTACTCTGTGGGGTGGGGGCAGGTTTCTGGCTGCTGTGTTGTCAGAGAGCAGCTGTGTTTGGGGAACCCTCTCTGTGTGTGAGAATCGTGCCAGCCATTTGCTACACAGCGTGTCATTTAATCTCCCCACAGCTGGTGGGCATGATCACTGTGCCCATTTTACAGACAAGGCCACTGAGCTCTGAGAGGGTATGTGACCTGCCCGAGGTCCCCCAGCCTGCAGGTGTCAGAGGTGGGATTTGAGCATGGGTCCGGCTGACTGCAGAGCCTGTGTGTGAGTTCCCGTGCAACACTGCACTTGGATCTCTTCCCGCCCCACTGGGGAAGCGGGGAGCCAGTGGCCCTGGGTGTCACTCTCTACGTGCAGGGAGGAGCTTTCCCTGCCTACAAGGAGGTCTGTGGGACTTGGGAGCCTCTTTTGTGTCCTCTGGAGTTTGCTTGGGACAGCAGTTCTCAACAAGGGAGGGTGACTTTCTCCCTCTAGGGCAACTTTGTCCTCCCTGGGAAATGGCTTTGTCCCCTGGGGACATTTGTCTCTGTCTGGGAATGATTTTGGTTCTCACAACTGGACAGCTAGTTCAGCAGAAATAAACTGTGTGTGTGCATATATTTATTATAAATTATAAAAGGTTGTTTAGTATATAATGTATGTAATGTGCAAATAAAGTGTACAATCCTTGTTATTGTGAATTCCATATAGAGATGGGTATTTCTCAGGCTGCTTTAATGATTTCTCCTTATCCTTGTGGCCACAGTTGATTAACAAACACGGGTGGTTCTCTGTGTCTTGATTGATGTTTTATACTAATGAGTAAGATGAAAAGACGTCAGAACTTCTCAAGATCAGTGTTGTAAGCATATTCTTTGCTGAACTGCATTGACTGCTTTATGTGGAAACTGAGAATATTCTAGTCAGAAGAGTTCACCTTTTCCGCCTGTATAAATGTAATTTTAGATGAATCTGCATTCCTAGCATTTTCTCAGCGCTGGCTTAGCTCCTGACAGTGTAGAAACAATAAACTGAGTCCCAGTGTGTGGCCTTGAGCAGTGTCCACACTGCGCCTCCCCCTGAGTAGGCCCTGAGCACTCCGCAGCTGTCAGGTGAGGGTCAGGGTGCACACACAACATAAACGTATGGTAGCAGGGGGGTGGACACATGTTGGGTACCAGCCATGGCATTTTCTGTCTTGTTGCTTTCTATTTCTGCGATAAAATATCCTGGCCAAAGTGACCTGAGGGAGAAAGGGTCCGTCAGCAGGAAGCCGGGGCAGCAGGAGTCTGAGGTAGCCGTCCCATCGCCTCCATAGCCAGGAGAGATGAGTGCTTGTGCTCAGACACTGTTCTACGTTTTGTGCAGCCTGGGCCCCCAGCCCATGACGGGTCTCCTTTACAGTGGCCTCTCCACCTCAGGTGAATTCGAGACAGTTTTGCACAGGCACGGCCAGAGGCTAGCCGTAAATAATCCCTCTGTGTGTCTGGAGGCTTGTTGCCTAGGTGACTCTAGATTCGTCTAGTTAATAATTAACACCAACCTTCACAACCTCCTTTTGTGTGTGTGTGTGTGTGTGTAATTCATTGTAAGCATATGTGTTTAATTCTTTAAAAGTACTTTTGCTTAAACGCCGAGTCACAGAATCTGAATAATTTGGCAGTCAGCTGTCTGTAGTCTATACCATACATACCGCTGCCAGGTGGAGAAGAGAACGCTGGGGTCCCGGGTGTGTGTGTGTGTATGTGTGTGTGTGTGTGTGTGTGTGTGTGTGTGAGACGCGAGGAGGTTCTTGGAAAGTACCCTGAGGGTCACAACCGATCAGAGCTCTAGTGGTGAGTGGGTGGGGATATTGGCTGTGGTGAGGGTAGAAGGCCAGTTGGTGCCTACAGTAGAGCCCCAAGGGCAAGCTGAAGAGCCGGTTCCCTGCAGAGGCCAAGAGTTCTACAGTGACACATGGGTGATCTTGGGGTGCTGCGGATAAGGAGAGGACAAGGCCCAAGCCTAAAGGACCAGGACAGTGCTGGCAGAGGTCTGAAGGAAGATCTGGGGCCCTGGTGCCTAGGGTCTGGGAGGGCACCCTTGGGGTCCCAGGCTGGACCACCACACTAGTGGGGGCTGGCTACCACTGGTTTGTGAGTGGGGAGATCAGCTGAAGAAGCCAAGGTTTGGGAAACTGTTGAGGAGGCTATCCTGGGCTACCTGGGCTAAGGGAGGGTGGAAGTGGCCCAGCCCAGTGTTGTCAGGTCCTGCCCTGGGTGGGGCCTGGCATGCAGGCTGAGTCAGTACTACAATCTGGGGTTACTGAGTGGAACTGGGGACTCCTCTCTGGGAGGGTCCACTCGCTGGGATCAGAGCAGCTGTGTGCGCTGTTTGCAGTGAAAGTGAGCTGCAGATTTCACCTGAGAACAAGCTTGCTTTACTCAGCTGAAAACTTCAAAGCGCAGCTGTGGCGCCTAAGCATCTCAGTGAGAAAACTGGGGCTCAGAAGTGTGGTGTGACCTTTGAACTGTAGGCAGGCCTGGAGCCCTTGCTTTCTGGTTTTCTCCTGCCCCATTGGCGCTGCCAGCACTCCATCTCAGTAAGTCAGGGCATGGCGTAGGGCAGTAGAGCTGAGGTGGTAAGAGGTGAGACAGAAACGCTCAGGAAACAGTGGTGGCTGGAATGGCAGCCGCTGGAGAAAAGAAGGGCGGAGTCACTCATCCCTCCCAGGTGCAGGAGTGCAGGAGGAGGTGGTTAGAAGCTTAGCTGATCCTGGAGAGGTGACTTCCAGGAGTGATCCCACGGTCTGTTCTCTCAGGCTGAGTGGATGCCCCTCTCAAAGGGCTGGGGATGGGCTCACCACTGCAAACAGCTGGGCAGGGATGGGACTGCAGCAGCGAGCCTGCTGCAGCATGCAGTAGCTGTAGGACACTCTAGCTAAGCAATGGGGACCCACTGCAAACAGCTGGGCAGGGGTGGGACTTCGGCAGTGTGCCTGCTGCAGCATGCAGTAGCTGTAGGACACTCTAGCTAAGCAATGGGGACCCACTGCAAACAGCTGGGCAGGGCTGGGACTTCGGCAGTGTGCCTGCTGCAGCATGCAGTAGGTGTAGGACACTCTAGCTAAGCAATGGGGACCCACTGCAAACAGCTGGGCAGGGGTGGGACTTCGGCAGTGTGCCTGCTGCAGCATGCAGTAGCTGTAGGACACTCTAGCTAAGCAATGGGGACCCACTGCAAACAGCTGGGCAGGGGTGGGACTTCAGCAGTGAGCCTGCTGCAGCATGCAGTAGCTGTAGGACACTCTAGCTAATGCAATGGGGTCACCAGCACTTCTCTACCGTGATGTCATGGCAGAGACAGGCCAGTGTCTTGGGCACTAAGGAAGGTAGGTCACAGTTGGCACCTGGCTGACTCTCAGCCCCGTGCTGCTGAGTTCTCCACAAATTTGGAGTGCTCTTCACAGGAGGCCCTTGTGAGTCTTCTATGATGGAGCCTGAGGCTCACAGGTGAAGCATGGAGTATAGTTGGCTCATCTCTACTCCCGAGGTGGTCTGGTCTGTAAGGGGCAGTCAGAGGACAGGAGCAAAGGCTCAGCAGGACAGGTATCCCCTGCCACCACACACACACACACATACTCAGAATATCTGAATTCAGCCTCTCTCTGCTGTAAACCTACTGTGGTCCCAGGAGTAGCTGCAGAAGACATGGGTGGGGGAAAAACTATATTCCTTCATGTGGCTTTCTATGCCTTGGTTTCTTCCCTGTCCCAGCCCTTTTTAGTGATCTTAAATGTGTTTATTTTCCTTTGTGTTTCTGCATGTGGCGCCATGCTAATGTGGAAATGTGGAGAATGGAAGTGAACTGCTGCTGCTGTTGCATTGTTTTAGTTTTTATTTTTGAGACAGGGTCTCTATGTAGCCCTGGCTGTCCTGGAACTCACAGAGATCTACCTGCCTTACCTCCTGAGTGCTAGGATTAAAAGCATGCAGCACTACACCTGCCTTGTCTCTTTACTTTTTTTTTTTTTGATTTTGTGTGTGTTTTGTATGTGTGGATTCAAGGTCAGAAAAGAGTTTCAGAACCCCTGGAGCTGAAGTTCCGGGGGACTGGGCCACCTGACCTGGGTCCCCTGGAAGAGCAGGAAATATTAACCACTGATCCATCTCTCTAGACATTCCCTCCTCTTCCTTTTTGAGACCCAAGTTTCACTACATAGCCTTGTCTGGCCTGCAACTTGGTATGTAGACAGACTAAACCTCAGATTCTCAGAGATTTGCTTGCTTCTGTCTCCCAAGTATTGGGATAAAAAGTGTGTGCCACCATGCCTGACTTATGTTTTTCAGACAGAGTCTCTCACTGAAGCTAGAGCTGGCTGTATGGCTGGGGATCTGTCTGTTTCTCAGCCAGCACTGGGGTTACGAGTGTGTTTTTATGTGGGTGCTAGGCTCTGAACTCAGGTTCTTACGCACAGAAAGTAGCTTGCCCATCCAGCTATCTCTTCACCTCCCAGGCATTTTTGTAATTATACGTGAAGCATAGCCTAGCATGATGGTGTGCACCTTTAATCCGAGCACTCAGGCAGAAGCAGGCGGATCTCTATGAGTTCAAAGACAGCCTGGTCTACATAGTGAGTTTCAGGGTAGCCAGAGCTACATAGTGAGACCCTGATTCAGAAAACCAAAAATTTGCCTGGTGGTGGTGGTGCGCGCTTTTAATCCCAAGCACTCAGGAGGTAGAGGCAAGTGGATCTCCATGAGTTCAAGGCCAACCTGGTCTACAGATTAAGTTCCAGAACAGCCAGAGATATACAGAGAAACCCTGTCTCAACAAAACAAAACAAAAAATAATTAAAAATAAATTATACAAGAACCACATTTACATTTTTTAAAGTAATGCAGATGCCAGGCATTGATGGTGCAGAATCCCAGCATTTGGGAAGCTAGGGCCAGATAGTAAACACAAGGCCAGCCTTAACTGGAGGCTACAGTCTTAGACCAAGACTTTGTCTTTAAAAAAAAAAAAAATCAGCCGGGCGGTGGTGGCGCAGGCCTGTAATCCCAGCACTCGGGAGGCAGAGGCAGGTGGATCTCTGTGAGTTCGAGGCCAGCCTGGTCTACAAAGGGAGTCCCAAGACAGGCTCCAAAGCTACAGAGAAACCCTGTCTCGAAAAGCCAAAAAAAAATAAATAAAATAAATAAAATAAAATAAAATAAAATAAAAAATCAAGTGAAGGTCTGGGACTGTAGCTCAGTGGTAGAGCTAGCACGCTCAAGGGTTTGGGTTTCACTGCAAAATTTATATAAATTAAAAGGTTAGAAATGAGCCCTCAAGGGCCGTCAAGATGACTCTGGGTAAAGATACTTGCCTCCAAGTCTGAAGACCTGAGTTCCATCCCAGGCACCCACACAATAGAAGGAAGGAAAGAATCTTTGACCACCAGTATACTGTGGCATTCGGGACCCCACCCCTAAAAAAAATGTAAGAAGAAATGGACCTTGAAGCTGCCCCCAGCCCCATGTGTACCTCTGTCCACCATTGTACGTGTCTAGATCAGCTTCCTGTGGCCAAGGCGACAAACCCCACCGACAGCTGGGTCAGGGACACAGACTTGCTAGTTCTCTTGCTAAAGCCCAACGCAGGCTAAGTGGAGTGGGGGTGGGGGCCTGGATCATGCTCCTCTCCTAGGCTGCAGGTGGGACGTGGGCTCTGCAGCCTTGCCTGTGTTCCCTTCCTTCATTTCAAAACTTTTCACTCACAGCCTGTGTCCTCTCCTGGTCTCTAGATGCTTATCTTCTGTGCATTCCCTGCCCCCATCCGTCGTCTGTTCCTCGGGCCACCAGATTGTCTAGGACAGTCTTCTGCTTCTAGGGTCAGCTGGCTAGAGGCCTTAGTTCCTTTCCTCACGGACCAAGGCAGTCCCAGGTCATATATGGATATCCTTGGAGAGCTGTTATTTAGCCTGCCATAATATCCTTTCAGCATTTTCTGTTTTCACATACCTGGACTAGGGCAGGCCGTGGCCTGTTCTGCACCCGTGAATTTTGTCCGGAGTCAGCTTTCATTCCACAGCAGTCCGCATGGCATCTTCCAGCAGCTGCCGATTGCCCTTTGCAGGTTTAGACCCCACCGCTGTCCCCTGGTCTTTGTATGCAGGTAACTTCCTGTGGCGTGTCCCTAGGAGTGGACCTGCCCAGGCAAGGGCTAGAGTTGCAAAAAAAAAAAAAAAAAAAACGCAAGGATGCCTGTAATCCTAAGCACTTAAGGGGCTGAGGCAGGAATGTTGTGAGTTCAAGGCCAGCCTGGCTATGTAGCCAGACCTTCTCTCAGAAGGACAGTGATGACAGCAATCTGCCCATACCCATCAGCCGGCCGCAGTGGGTACTCCAGCAGTACACATGGGTCTACCTACATCTTGTCTACAAAGCCATTTTTTATGGCATCAACAGTTCCAGCTCACTTACTCAGCCCCTGCCATGTGACTTACCCTGGCCTGCACCCCAGGCCTAAGCTAGGTCAGGTGTTCCTTGTCACCAGACTATTATGTTCTTGGAGAAGCAGGACCTTGGGAGGCAGGGGAGAGGCTGCCCAGAGGCAGAACTAGTAAAGATGTTTAAGATAGGCTGTGGGGAGCCAGGTGGTGGTGGCATGCACCTTTAGTCCCAGCAGGCAGATCTCTCTGTATCTCTGTTTGTTCAAGGCCAGTCTGGTCTACAGAGCTAGTTCCAGGACAGGCTCCAAAGCTACAGAGAAACCCTGTATCAGAAACCAAAAAAAAAAAAAAAAAGATGGCTGTGGGGAATATGAGATATCCAGGAAGGAGAGCAATTCCCACTGCAGGCAGACAGCGTTGCTTTTTCTAAGTTGTTATTATTGCAGGGGGGTGGACACATGCATGCCACGGCATGTGGAAATCAGAACACAACTTCATGGAGTCAGTTCTCCTTGCATTCTCAGACTTACCCAGCAAGTGCCTTTGCCCACAGAGCCTTTTCACCCTCCCAAGAACTGGTTTTATAGCTGTGAGGTTGCTTAGCTGTGGGCTGGACAGAGATGGAGCCAGGGAAACCAGACTTTGTCTTGCAGCTGGGGAATCATTGCAAGACTCGAAGCAGAAAGGGGGTGAGTGAAGTCTGTGGGTGAGGAGTGGATGGCAGTGGGAACGGTGTGGATGCATAGGGCATCATCCCAGAGGGGTGGATGGCAGTGGGAACCGTGTGGACACGTGGTGCTGATCCCAGAGGGGTGGATGGCAGTGGGAACCGTGTGGACACTTGGTGCTGCATCCCAGAGGGGTGGATGGCAGTGGGAACCGTGTGGACACGTGGTGCTGCATCCCAGAGGGGTGGATGGCAGTGGGAACCGTGTGGACACGTGGTGCTGCATCCCAGAGGGGTGGATGGCAGTGGGAACCGTGTGGACACGTAGTGCTGCATTCCAGAGCAGGGTCATGAGCCTGGCCCTGGGCAGGCGTGCACTGAGGCTTGGAGCCTGGAAGGACTTCTAACCCAGGTACTGGGGACAGCCTCGTGACCTCCCTGGCCTCTGGCCCATAGGAAGCCTGTGAGCGCAGCCTGGCAGAGATGGAGTCCTCACACCAGCAGGTGATGGAGCAGCTGCAGCGGCACCATGAGAGAGAGCTGCAGCGGCTGCAGCAAGAGAAGGAGTGGCTACTAGCCGAGGAGACGGCGGCCACAGCCTCAGGTGAGGACCAAGGATGCACCATGGGCAGGGCCTGTGCTTCCACATTGAGCTGGGAAGCCCCTTGAGGAAGGATTTGGGATAAGAAGTCAGTAGGGGTTGGAAGCCCCAGGAGTGATCTGTGGTCCAGCTTGAACCGGGGAAAGTGAGGCAATAAAAGACCTCCTCTCCCATGGGTTGGGACTTTGCTTCCTTGAGTTCTATAGACATTGAGGGGTACCTCAAGCCACATACTACTTCCATGTAGGGGATCGACACTGATCCGCTACAGTCAGTTCTGGCAGTGTCACCTGCCTAGGTACTTGGGTCAGACCCTGGGATGTTCAAAGAATGGTCGTGACCTTTGCTGTACTGGCAGTGTGTACCTCTCTATGCCCACACATTCCTCACGGGAGCACCCTGCGTGTTTATGGTATCCAGGGAGTAGGGAAGCTGGACCTCAGAGAGGTTAGTGACTTGTCCAGATGGCCCAGCTTGGAAATGACAGGGCAGTGCTTTGAGCCTAGAGTAGCGACTCTGATTGCAAAGCTGGGCTCTAAACAGCCTCACTCCTCCCAAACCAAAAACAGGAAACACCAGAGATGGACAAATTCCATCCCCTCCTCTGTCTACTGCACACCTGCTGTGTGTGCATGGCATATCCTGGGCAGCCCCTCTGACTTTGTAGAGTCATGAGTGAGGTCATGTGACCTGGAGCTTGCATCCTGCCGATACTGGCCAAGTGTTTCCTGCAGTCAAGTCTACATGGTCATTTCTGCAAGCCTTGGGCCATGTTCATGTTTTAGGGCAGGCAGCCTAGAGTAGCCACCCCTCCCCACCAGGATGCAGGCATTGCCCAGTGATCCAGCCCCAAAGTTTCCACAGTGAACTTGAACTTGATGCAAGTGATGCTGTGTTGAATAGCAGACCACCAGCCTTGTGTCCCTGCACAGCAGGGACTGCCATTGAGGAGGAATGAGATCCTCCCAATGTTCACAGGTGTTGCATTTTGGAATTGTGGATAAACTTAAGGCTGGAGGCTTGCATACTCCTTACCCCACCCTGTGCAGTATGGGAAAATGCTGGGTTCTCGGCAGCTCCCCGTTAGAAGCAGCCAGCAGGAGCCAGCACTTGGGCCTTACTCTCCTTGGCTGGCCTTGCTCTAGTCACCTCTAGAGAAGGAAAAACCATGGTTAAGCACCTTCCAGAAAGGGTCCTGAGGCAGAGGATTGAGTCAGAGTTACACAGCTTTGTAGTGACCACCGGCCAGGCAGGGCAGATAGGCCTTGAAGGATGGCCTCCAGCCTATGGGGGTGGTGCGAAGCACTGTGCAAGGCTAGCCAGAGAATGCTGGTAGAAGGTGTCAGTGGTTAGATACCGACATGTCACCCCAGGGGAGCCCCTCCCACAGGATTAGTTCAAGCAGGACCCAGAGGGTTGACCCACTCACCCAAAGCCACTGGGTTCAGGACACAGCTTCGGCCCTGTCTGCACCAGTACAAATGGAATTGTATGGATCCCCTTCCAACCTTTCCTTTGCCTGTCTGTTCTGCTCCTAGCCATTGAAGCCATGAAGAAGGCATATCAAGAAGAGCTGAGTCGGGAGCTGAGCAAAACACGGAGTCTCCAGCAGGGTCCAGATGGCCTTCGGAAGCAACACCAGTAAGACGGCAGCAGGGTCTGGGGTGGGTCTGCCTCTGCACCAGGAGCACCACTCGCCCTGATAAATGTGACTGGGGATTTGCTCAGGGCCCTGGGCAGAGGGTGCGTGGGTTGTTGGTGCCCAGGTCCTGGCCTCTGTGCCCCTTTAGTGTGTCTCCTAGAGCTGGGTTGCAGTGTTGCCCTTGGCCGCTAGGGTGCCTCCCTGCCTCAGCACAGTCCAGGTGCCTGGGCTATGGTGGTGTGAGAGGTAGTCTCCAGAACTCACCCTCTCACAGAGAGAGGAGGGAAATGTTACTAGCCCACAGCCACAGTGGGCTGAGTTCAAAACCACAAGGTACCTAGAACCAACAATGCTGAGACATGATTCCAGGCCAAGCAGCGGCAAGGGAGCCCGCAAGGTCCATCTCTGTCCCATCCTATGCTGGCTAGGTTGGACATGGAGGCACTGAAGCAGGAGCTGCAGGTGCTGTCTGAGAGGTACTCCCAGAAGTGCCTAGAGATCGGGGCCCTGACACAGCAGGCGGAGGAGCGCGAGCACACCCTGAGGCGCTGCCAGCAAGAGGGCCAGGAGCTGCTGCGCCACAACCAGGTAGGCTGGCCCCTGGGAGGCCATGAGTAGGCAGTGAGGGGCTGGTACCCCCCCTGACCATTCCGTTCTCTCAGGAACTACACGCCCACCTGTCAGAGGAGATCGACCGTCTGCGCAGCTTCATCGCTTCACAGGGCACGGGCAACAGCTGTGGACGCAGCAATGCCAGGAGCTCCTGTGAGCTGGAGGTAGACGTCCTCCCCTCCCTTCTTTTGCCTTGTGCCAGGCAACCCTGGCTCTGGGACCTGTGTGGAAGCTCCCTAGCAGGCTGGGTGTCACCTGCAGGTATCACTCAAAATTCCTGGGTCTTCCAGGCTAAGTCAGAATTCTAGACTCTGATCTGATCCTGTCATCTACCTGCTATGTGACCATGCTCACCCTGCTTTTGTGAGTCCCAGTGACTTAAATATAAAACAGTGAACATGTTGGGCATAGTGGTGCACACCTGTAATCCCAGGACTCCAGGAGCAGAGACAGGCAGGTCTCTGTGAGTTCAAGGCCAGCATGGTCTACAAAGATAATTTCAGGACAGCCAGGGATACACAGAGGAACTCTGTCTCAAAAGACCAAAAATAAATTAGAAAATTTAAAAAAAAAAATCTAAGGTGGCAAGGGCAGCACTCTGCTTATAGGGGGAGTTGAAAGGAAAAAGTGAGGGATCCCAGGATCACCCAGCTTTTCGTTTCATTTCTTAGCAAACATGTAAGGCAGTGGTTCCCAGCCTTCCTACTGCTGCGACCCTTTAACACAGCTCCTCATGCTGGGCTTGGTGGTTAATCGAGTTCCAGAGAAGTCAGAGAAACAATGTCTTGAAAAAAAAAAAAAACGAAACAAAACCCAGAACAGTACCTAATGTTGTGGGGACCCCTTAACCATAAAATTATTTTCGTTGCTACTTCATAACTATAATTTTGCTACTGTTAGGAATTGTAATGCAAATATCTGCTATGTAGGACAGTCTTAGGCGGCCCCGTGATAGGGTCATTCAACCCTCAAAGGGGTCGTGACCCACAGGTTGAGAGCCAATGCTATGAGGTTTGTCTCTGTGCCTAGAAGGTCTAAGCCCTTTGAGTGTTCCCTTCTGTCAAGCTCATTAGTCAAGCCCTGTTACTATCTGCATTAAATTGATGGAGGAACAGGAATTAATGACCTTCCTGAAGGTCACACGGCTATTGGTGTGAAAGCTGGGTCTGGAGCCAGGCAGTAGATCACCAGTCTGACGTTTAAGGCTTTCCTGCCCCGCTGAGCTTATGTACCCCACATGTCAATAGCACGGCCCCTCAGAGTTCAGTGGGGGTGCTCCTGTGGTAGATATATGGCTACAGTTTGTAGCTGGGCCACAGTCTCCTGTCCACCCCCTCGACCCTAGCACCCAAGCCCAGCACTGTGTCCAGCTGCCGCTGAGTTGCAGGGAGAGTCCCACTCACATTATACATGGGTTAAGAGTGAGGAAAAGGACAGCAGAGGCACAGGACCTTCTGGGGCAGTAGGCTGTAGGATGCAGGGGCTCTCAGTGAGGGTGCAGGCTGCACAGGGAACCTTGAGTCACCGAGGTGCCAGGCTGCAGGGCAGTGTGGATCTGGTCGCCTTGGCCGAGGTCCCTGGCTCAGCCTGGCACATGTGTCCCTAGGTGCTACTGCGAGTCAAGGAGAATGAACTCCAGTACCTGAAAAAGGAGGTGCAGTGCCTCCGGGATGAGCTCCAGGTGATGCACAAGGTAGGCAGCGGCGGGAGTGGGGGCTGGGGGTGCTCCAGGTGCCTGCCCGCACCGTCCACTCTGGGCCTTTTCCTCCCCTTGGGCCTGCCACATAGGTCTCACCATCCCATTACAGACTAGCAGGAGAAGGGAGAAGGGTGTGACTCACCCAAGGTCACACGCTTTTGGGCGTTCAGGGTTGTTTGACTTTATTATTATTGAACACCTGCTGGGTGCCAGGAATAAGCAGGTCACTACCCCAGCCTGCCTGTGGGTTCACCCCAAGTGTTGCTAGAAATTGGGATGCTCATCCAGTTCTGTACAGCCATTGGCTCATTCCTGCCCTCATCGAGTCATGGATGTATGTATGAGCCAGCAGTACCCTGGCTGTGCTTGGAGAATCGGCAGAGAAAAGTCATTGAAAGACCAGAACCCCTGGCCACGCCCTTCTAGGGCTCATCCTGCCACTCATTGTGACCGTGGGCAAAGGCTACACCTCTCAGGGCCCTAACTGCTACTCCTCTAATGGGACAAGGAAGGACAATGAAGTCCCCATCACTGGGGGAACCTGGCCTTCTGTGCTACCAGCAGGGGGCAAGGTGGGTGTGTAGCAGGGCTCAGGACCTGCAGCTCCAACCCTCGGTGCTTGCTTGGTGGCCCTAGGACAAGCGCTTCACGGGGAAGTACCAGGATGTGTACGTGGAGCTGAACCACATCAAGACGCGCTCAGAGCGCGAGATCGAGCAGCTGAAGGAGCACCTGCGCCTGGCCATGGCTGCCCTGCAGGAGAAGGAGGCTGTGAGAAACAGCTTGGCTGAGTAGAGGTGAGTAGGGACCTGCAGTTAAATGCGTGGTCACTTCCATGCAGCTTAACGGGCCAGGGAAAGGAAATGCTGAAAGTGGCACATTGTGGTACTGGCTACAAAGGGTTGTTGTGGCCCTACGACAGTTCAGAGTCTGTTATGTCAACCTGTGCATGTTCGTCCCCAGGTGATGACACATGGCTGGGTCAGGACCCCACAGCCCTGCATCTTAGCCACTGTCATGTTCACCGCCCTCAGTCTGCCTTTCCATGGGCTAGTGGGGACCCTGGGTGCATTCCGTGCTCCGCACTACAGCCAGCACTGACCATAGGGCCCTAGAGATGCCCTCCTCTAGGGGGCTTGAAATGCTGCCATGTGATAGATATTATAGGATATGATATTATATATGATGTGTGATATGATGTGACATGACATGGCCTGTCTGTCTCTTCATCCTGACCAGACTAGACTTCCTAAGGCTCATCAGTCAGGCCACCCCAAGCCATGTGCAGAGCAGCTTCAGGGCCAGCAACCATGGGCAGTTTTGCCTGTACTTCGGTTTGGCCCACGCTGGCAGGCCAGAGCCTGAGGTCCGCCTTCCCAGTGCTCAGGAATCGCTCTTGCCTTCCAGGTCCCTGTGGTTCAGCTCAGCTGAGAACCCTCCGGCCCCAGGGGACCAGCCACCCTCCTCCTCTACAGAAGTCAGAAGCCAAGCTTTCTCCCCACCCTGAGTCACATGTGCATCACCTGCCACACACACACATGTACACACACATGCACACACACATGCACACACACATGTACACACACGTGCACATACACACGCATGCACACACACACATGCACATACACACACATGTACACACACACACACACACACACTGCGGATCTGAGCTCGTCCCTCGCACTGGGTCTTACCTTGCACCTTCTTCAGGATTTTATATGTGAAGAGATTTTTATATAGAACTTTGCCCTTTTTTTTTTTCCTAAAACACTTTAAACTTTTTTAAAAGGCATATCTCTTGGTGGCGTGTGCCTCTAGCACTGGCTCCTGTCCCTTCCAGTCCCCTGCTTGGGCCTCCTTCCTACCCTGGGCATCTTGCAAAGGCCCAAGCAGGGCCAGGGTGAGTTGCCCAGAGGGAAAAGACCGGGAGCAGCCCTCTCTTCCTGCCCTACCTCTGCTAACTACTTCTGCCCTGGCCAGGTCCACACCATGGCCTCTGGACTGGGGAACGAGTGGACAGAGAGAGGAGCCCGTAGCTGTCTCCATAGCTCCACTCCTCTGAGGGGCGCTGGGTGTGGCCTACTAGCGCTACCCATGAAGACGTTTCTCTCCTGTTCCATGAGTCACCCTAACTTAATAAAACCTTCCAGCAACTCTGGCTTTGTGGATGGCTGGGCAGGGTAGGAAGTAACAACCAGGTTCTGAATGGCTTCTGCATTCCACCTTACCTGAAGCAGGGGTCTGTGGGTTTCTGAGGATAGAGCTGAGTCCAGTTCATCCCCTGGGCCTTGGACATTTGAGTGGTTTGAGGGGCAGTAAGCCAGCAGTGGTAGTGGGACCAGTCTCTACCCTGACAACAACAGAAGTTGCTCTCTAGCCTGGCTTGCTGGTGGTAGCCTGGCTTGCTGGTGGATCACCAACGGCTCATTTCAGGCTTACTTATCAACTCATTATTTGAGAATCTGTGGAGTTGCAAAAAGAGGGCAGGTGCCGAGATTGTGCTGACCCACACACTGTAACATCCTCTTCCGAGGCTCAGTTTGCTGCTCCAGAAAAATGGGTGTTTTCTGTCATTCCCTACACTGGGCTGGGGGTTCTACCCAGAGGTTCCCCCGCCCTGGACAGAGGTGGAGTGGGAACAGTGAATGTGACCCTCATGGTAGTCTGTACCCACGGTCACCAAGATCTGGAAACCACATTGGGTTGAGTCCCAGGAGCCTGGGATCCCACAGGAGACACTGGCTTGATCTAATGCTGGTTCAAGAACAGCTTCAGGATCAGTTTTCCCAAATGGAAAATTCAAGAAGGGTATTCCAAGAAGAGCCGTCAGCAGGAAGAATTGTTCTTTGAACATCCCTGGTGTATTTTGGAAAGGACACAGCCACTAGGGACCCTCATAGGGCGATGATTCTCAACCTGTGGGTCACACAACCTTCTGGGTGGAGTTCGTCAAACAACCCTCAACAGGGGTTGCACATTAAACATCCTGCATATTGGATATTTACATTATGATTCATAACAGTAGCAATAAAAATAACTTTATGGTTGGGGGTCACCACAACGTAAGGAACTGTAGTAAAGGGTCACAGCATTAGGAAGGTTGAGAACCATTGTTAAAGAGTATCTCTGTGTCTGTCTCTAACCTTCCCTGTGATTGGTTCAGAATCCACGGATGACAGGCAGTTCCACTGATGAGATGCAAGGGAGGTCTGTGAGGTGTGATTCTGCACGGGCTTCCTTTATTCCTATTCTCCCAGGGTTTCCTAGAGATGATGGCCGTCTGTGGCTAGCAGCTCCCGGCATCCACACACAGGGTTGAGAGCCCAAGCCCACTCTCTCATCATCCCTCACCGCCTTCCTTGAAAGCTCTTGCTCCTGTGGTTAGGGTCACAAGTCACCAGGCAGAGTAGTTGTGGCAAACAAAGTCTTCACTCCCCAGCTCTAGAATAGCTCAAAAGACCCAACATTACCAAGTGTCAGGTGGCCAAGACTGGGATACCAAGGATTGTCACGCTCTGCTATCAGGAGCATACTTGGCACACCGTGGCAGCTTTGGGGCAGTTTCTTCCTGGGATAAACTTTCTTCTCCCCTCCGATTCAGCGCTTCCCTCCCTATATAGGCACTAGGAGCATCAAGGGCCAGCCCCCTGCACCACTAGACAGTGGCGTTCAAGGTCGTTCAAACCTCAGCTGCCCCTCCATGGTAGCGTAAATGGCTGGGAATGTGGCTTAGTTGGTAGAGTGCCATCCCAGCAAAGTGAAGCCCTGGGTTCAGTCCATAGCTCTGCGTAAGCTGGGGTGGTGGTGGTACACACCTATTAATACCAGCACTTGGGTTATGGAGGCAGGAAAATCAGAAGTTCAAAGTCACCCTCAGCTATATTGCAAGCTCCAGGACAACATGGACTACATGTGACCCAATTTCCCATCCCCCCAAAAGAACAATTGTGGTCTATTTGTACATGCTGATATAGTGTGGCAAGAAACCATAACTGCTACATACAAAAAACATGGGTGAATCTTCCAGACTTAATGGTTAAGCAGAAGCCGTGAAGATCACATGAAGTTCAAAAGTAGCAAAACAGTGGGGCCCTGAATGGGGGAAGAAGAGATACTGCCCAACAGTAGGCACAGGGTTCTGTGGGGTGGCAGGTGTTATGCCACACTATATCAGCATGTACAAATAGACCACAATTGTTCTTTTGGGGGGATGGGAAATTGGGTCACATGTAGTCCAGGTTGTCCTGGAGCTTGCAATATAGCTGAGGGTGACTTTGAACTTCTGATCTTCTTAGTTGGTTAGCTTTTAAAAAATATTTTTTAATTTTACGTGTATGCGTGTTTTGCCTGCATGTATGTCTGTGCACCATGCAGTGCCTGGTCCTCACAGAAGAGGGAATCGGATCCCCTGGAACTGGAGTAACAGACAGTGGTTTGCTGCCATGTGGATGCTGGCAGTCAAACCTAGGGAGAGCAGCCGATGCTCTGAGCAATGTCTCCAGCCCAGTAAACTGGCTTTTAAAGGAACAAACTAGGTTTCCAGCAGGTATCAGGTTAGCCAGGCCACGTGGGAGAAGAGCTCAGCCCTTTCCGTCACTGGACAATTTAGCCTGAAACAGACGTCTGGCTGTTCAGTCTGGTTATGACCTCAGGCATCAAGCTTTCTAGAAACAACCTAGACCAGCCTCACTGACTCATACTTCACTACTGCCTCCTGAAGTCATCTCGGCTTCTGGGCTTAGTTTCTTCACCTGTTAAATGGGGCAATAATGCTCATCCCAGGAGGGTGTGGGTGTTAAACTACTAACCTTCAGGTGTCTGTGCCTTTGTAACTTGACAGCTGAGAATGGCAATGTTCTGATCACTCTCCGGGACTTACAGGAGGCCTGGGCCAGTCTCTTGTGTCCTTCCTCAGCTACATCAGGTGGTCAGAGTGCAAGCCACGAGGTTCCCCGTAGGTGTCCGTCATAGCCTCTCCCTTCTAGGTGCTCTACCTTAGCGGGATGCCTGCTTCGCTGTGGCTCTCCCTCTACTTCCTGGATGCATGGTGGTCTCGGGACAGTGGATGGCTGACTCCTTTAGAAAGGGCTGTGGAATCCAAGCTGCATATGAGCAGCGTTTGGAAATGCTATGACGTCACTTCTTGTTGGTCAAAAACAAATCAGGGCCAGCCCAGGCGCAAGGGTAGTAGCAGGGCCTGGTCAGCAGAGGTGGCTCTTCAGGCCAGCTCTCTTCCCAGCCTCCTGTTCCTGAGATGGGATCCTCTGTAGGGTCCTCTTTGGGGTCTGCCCTCAGCTCCTCTGTGTTTGTGCTGATCTTGGCCACTTGTCCTTGGCTTCTCAACATCCAGCCTGTTCTCAGAAACTCAGCTGGGGAACCTCCATCCCAAGATCGACACGGAATGGATCTTCCATCTAATCTGTGCCTTAGTAGCTCCTCCCGGACCTGGGTGCAGCTTCTGGATGAGGCCCGAGGAACCAGCCCCCCATTCTGGGGCTGCCTTGGCCTATGGAGGAGGTTGGGAAGTTGGAGGCAGGCAGCTCTTCCAAGAAGCCACAATCAGCACAGACCCAGACGGGGAGATCAGGGGAGGCCTCCTGGAGGAAGAGGTGCTGGAGCTAAGCAGGCATTAGCCAGGCCAGGGCTTGGAAATGGGTCTGTCTCTGAGCATGGTGTTTGAGTCTAGAGAGATTCTCATTCCAGGAATGTGCTGCTGCTACAGCCTGGAGCTCATTCTGCAGAGGGGAGGGTCAGCAGACTGCAGCAGGGAGAGTGGGGCCTGGGTCCTGAAGGGGCTCTAGGATTTGGGGAGCTTCTGGGGTGCAAAAACATCCCGGCTCAGGCGGAGCCTGGTGCACTGATAAGCTACTTAAGAGCCTAGCCAAGGAGGCGGGCCGAGAGAGGTGCCAGGTACAGTAGATCCCAGGGGCAGTCAAGGGCACAAGGAAGTGGGACACATGGGCGCCCTGCAGTGGGGAACAGGTGGCCAGCAGTGCTGGGACCAAAAGGCCACAGAGGATGCTGAACTTCCCAGGGCCTGTGAGGTGGGGAAGGAAGGTTGATGACCTAGTAGTACTACTCTGATCCCGCCTGTCCCTCAATGTCCCTGGTTCCCCACACTCTCATTGATTCCTGGAGGTTCTTGTCAAGCTCCAGCCGCTCCTTGTAGTGACACTTCCTATTACCAGAGGCTGGCCTGTCCCTCTCCATGTTTCACGGGAGCACTCAAGTCCTCTTCCCTACCAAGGAGACTCCGTGACCCCACTCTTGGCTCTGGGGACCTGCAGGGTAGGAAGAATGTTGCACTTGGCCTGGCAGAAATGAAGCCTGGTGTTTCGTTTTTGTTTTTTCTTTTTTCAAGACAGTTTCTCTGTGTAACACCCTTAGCTGTCCTGGAACTAGCTCTGTAGACCAGGCTGGCCTCAAACTCACAAAATGAAGATGTTCTAAAGAGACACTTGTGTCTTCTAATCCGACTCTCAGACTGCTGAAACCACAGACCCCAGAGAAATGGGGACTTCCCCAGGAATCGCATGCTAGGAGGAAGAAGGCACAGCCAGGGGTATTTCAACTCTAACGTCTTGCCAGAGCCACTGACAGAAGGGAGGTCAGGCAGCTATGTGTCAGTGTGGAGGGGCCACCCCAGGACTGCCTAAAGATGCAAATCCTTGGCCCTCTCTGTCAACTTATCTCACTTCAGTACCCAGAAAATGGGTCTGTGCCTCTTCCCGTCGAGGCCACATTAAACAAATTTTGTTCTGTTTTCCACTATTCATTTGGCTCTTTTAATTGTCTTATTGAAGATGGGGGTCTGAACCTGGCCTAGGGCAAAGGCTGTGACCCCCAAGTTCAATAGCAATATTCCCTCAGGAAGCAGGTTCCACTCCTCCTGGGCATACTTACTACCCTTCAATCTCTCCCCTCACCCAGCACAGATGCTGTGGGAGGTCTGAGAAACAAGTAGCCCTCCATCTTGTTCCCAGCTCTGCAACCCTGGGCAGGTTATATACAGCTTCTCCGAGCCTGTTTCCTCAACTGTACGCTAGTGGCCACCTTGCTAAGTGTTGTGAAGGTGAAGACAGCTAATGACAGGCAGGACCTGCTGAGGAGAGTGCCTGGTGCCTCATAAAACACAAGGCAAACATGAGTTGTTGTGACTGAGGTAGCTGTGGCTCATCACACCAGTAGGGGCTGTGGCTCACGAGTCAGCCCCAGGTCAGCTTTAAAGCCAAGCGGCCTCTGAAACTCCAGACCCGCCCTTCCAT